TGTGTGTTCATTTATTGTCGCCGTTGTAAGACACGCTGTATAATTCGATCATTTTGTGACATTAATCATTAATTGTTTTTTTTATGGTGGTAAACGAGTTGGCGGTTCACCTGATGTTAAGTGATAACCGCCGCCCAATGACATTTGTAACAGAGGGGTTGCAGATGCGCTGCCACGTTTTAATATAGTGGGCCCAGGCTACCTCACTCATTAGACGAAACGAAGAAGGTTAACACTTCCACTTAAGACAAGACATAAGACATTTAATCCGTCACTTAATCTGTTTACAATTATGTTATATTTATGTTTTATTACAGATTAAAAATAAAAAAACGACAAAATAATGAATAAACAAAAATAACAAAATTAATTAAAAAAAAATAGTGAAAGTAAATAAAATGTAAGTATTTATAAATTTTAAAGTAGTGACGGAACGGACCGCTTCAGCATATGCCGGTCTTCTGTGAGGTCGTGGTACTTACTCGGACGGACCTTCCCATCCGTGCAACAGAGAAGACCAACAGAGAATCGGTTAAACTTTGTCAACATGATGGACATTTCTTCTTCGTTGAATTCTGAATCGAAACCACACTCGAATCGACATTGCCTTTAACACACGAAAAATTACATTAAAATCGGTCCAGCTGTTTAGGAGGAGTTCACTGACATACAAATGCACAGAACAAATACCTATGTAAAAGATGTACATACGTAGAATCACTTTCGAATCAAGTGTTTTATAAATAGACAGATAATTTCTTAATGTTCCGCGAGACAAATACCTTATTATGTATACGTTCATCATATGAGTCGTAAAATATAATTTAACGATATAGTAGTATTTGCAAATTTCCGGATACATTATTGAATATGTTAGGATATAATCAATCTGCGTTTCAATCCATTATAAAAGCCCACGTCAGTAGTCTATTCAAATTACAAAGATAAATAGTGTAGGTAGACACTATAAAACTCTGTCAACAGAAAATTACGCAGGCTTAACTCATTATCGGACTCCGTCCAATTTCCATTAACTGGCGCTCATTATCTGCTAATTGAATGACACGCCATCGACCGGGATTCGTGTGACGCAGGTAAAATTATTGGACCTTATTTCAACACCTGTGTACGCCCGGAGCTTTGTTTTTTTCTAGACATATCAAACGAAGGAAATATATTAACAAAATATATCTATATAATCTATATTCAATCTATGCATGCATACCCCTCTGATGCCCTCTATCCGTGTCAAATATCGCTTTGATCGAGGATACTTGTTCGATAAAGTTAAAAAGACTTACTAGAAATTAAGATGTCGAGTATTATTTACCAGGACTGTCTTTTGATTACTGCGAGGAAGAGCAGAAATATTGACTTATAGTAAAGTAAAGTAAGAGCCTATAAATTTCCCACAGCTGGGCAAAGGCCTCATCTGTACAGAACGTATCAGGGTCCACCACGCGGCCCCATTGCAGATTGGCGGACTTCACATACCTTCGATTTTTTTTGTTATTATTTCGAAAACCTGCACGGTTTCCAGCGATGTTTTCCTTCACCGCTGAGCACATAACAATTCACCGGGCATCGGGGATCGAACTCAGGTTGCTCGAGTATATGGAATTAATAGCGAGCGCCCGGACAATGAGCTATCACGATTACATCGACAATAAAATATCTTTAAATAACAGCTTGTGGTAGATTATTCCAATAACTGTGGTCCCTTCAGATATCTCTACGAATTTATGGTCAATTTAAAAATGCACTCGTCTTAAATGTATAGTTTACGGATTTTATAGGGTTTTTATTTCGTTTTGAAATTCCCGACGTTTCGAACTCTTTCCAGCGTTAAGGGTCACGGGACAAAGTTGTTACACGAACGAAAGATCCGAAAACTAGTTTCATTTAATATGTATAATATTCGCATAAAATCAAGAAGTCAATATAGACCCGTCTCTAAATATTTCATATGTGATCCGCAACTCCACTGCGTTTTATATTCGGCATGTCAAATATCAAAGTAATATCGCAGTTCATAATTTTATCACTACGTGTATCACAATTTCAGATGCATCGCGAGCGATCAAATACTTCCATGTAATGTGACGATTAGAAATTCTTGTCTACAGCTTTTACCTGGAAATATTACAGTAATATTATATCAGTTAATATTATATTTTTAAATAACTGCTAATAATCGTATCATAAATTCTTACCATTCAATATATCTATTTTTTGCGCAATATTCTTTTTGTACATATTTCAATTTATTTTAGTTTTTACAGTTATTTCTGTTTAATGTTTATATTATTATAATGTATTTATTTCACCTTTTGTTTATCAACTATGCTGTTATACATTTTTTTGCTTGTGTCTCTTATTCTGTTTGCTTGTGTTACTTATTCTGTTTCGGTGTGTACTTTGTTGGTGATAAATAAATTTATTTTATTTTTAGCGGTGACCAACACAAAGTAACATAAATATCATTTAATTCGTAAAATTCTTTGTTATTAGTTTTTACTTAAGTTACTTTGCTCTATCGGTAAGAAAATGCCTTTCTTTACCAACGGGATTTTACCATGGCCTGAGATATGACCGCCGTAAAGTGAAGCTTTCTTATAATTCTGCATTTCTTCCGATGAGTATGGTAACCGGGAAGATATGCTGGGTTCCCATATTATTAACAAAAAAAACAACAACAAACTATTCTCAGCTAACTATTCTGATAAACGACAGGCACGTAAATCCTTCCGCATTGGAAAAGAAATACTAGGCGCTCAGTACTTATATTACTAGACCCGAGTAATAATGGAGTGGAGAATCTTCATAAATGTCATTAACTCTTGCCGTTATTTTCCAATATACTTCAGGACATGTCCGATGACTCGTTGTCTCGATTTGAATGCAGGACGCGCGTTTAGCGAATATATTAACGGAATTTATTAACTCCGTCACAAAAATGTACACAAGATAAGGATAGCCACAGTTCTGTCTGGAAATGGAACAAGACTAGTAGTAGAAAAATCAGGTTCGGATAGAATCATCAAAAGAACGCATATGTGGCCGTGATATTAGTGTTACGATGTACATAATTTAGTAAACCGTGACGTTTAATACCATAAACAATCCTCCATGTTGAGTGCATAAATAATTTATAGAATAAATTATTATGAAAAGTAATTAAGGTTACAAGAGCCGGGACAGCTCAGTGTCCGGGCGCTCACCTTTAATTCAATGTACTCGAGCAACCTGAGTTCGATCCCCGGAGCCAACATCAATGACACTGTTAATTTTAAGTGTTGAATTATCACGTACTCAGCTGGGAAGGAAAATATCGTGGGGAAACCTGCATATTTTCGAAATAACAAATAAAATATTTCGAAGACTATGTGAAATCCGCCAAGCCCCAGTGGGGCCGCGTGTTGGACTATGCCATGATACCCTTCGTACAGAGGAGGCCTTTGCCCAGCAGTGGGACATATAGATACAGACTTATACAATACTTTACAGTGTACAGGAAAAAATCTACCAAAGTATGTCAGGAATTGTAAAATTCAAATTCTTCATAAACGTCTGGCCTGAAGCTGTTTTCATTCAATAATTACCAAGTTCCCATTACACGCCCGGAGAGTTGTGATAATTGTGAAAAAATTAATCGAACGACGACAGAGAAAGCCACAGCTGTTCTGCAATAGGGAAATTCTCATGGCTTCGGCGTACCGGAACTAATGATCTTCAGATGACGTCTATTTCATTTTAGATACATCGGCGTGGTGGTTCGGCGTATTAGTTAGAATTAGATGACCAGGGTTCAAAGTGCAAACATACAAATGTCAATTAATGTACAAATAGCATGATTGAGCATATGATTTGCGTTTCATTGGAGTTTAAAATTGTATTTAATAATTAACACGTATAAAAATTCTTCTATCCATTGATGGTTACATTTATTTGAAAGGTTTACGTCCTAGGCTTGAAGCCGCGGCTGATGACAAGAGAGCTGGTTCTTTTTTCGCTCAACGGTTAAGCATAACTATTCAGTGTGGAAATGCACCGTTCTTGGCATGCCGCGTGGACCTATCATTATTTATCTTTGATTATGTATTTATCTTTGATGTAAAATTTGACGATTCATAAGAGCGCGCAAGCGTCTATTTGAATAAATATATTTTTGATTTTGATTAGATAATATTTAATTTAAGATAGAATCAATGTGGTAAATGTTGAATAAATAAAATTTTGTATATTAAAAAAAAGCTATTATCTATTTACAAAACTGATGTTTACTGTCAGAAAGGTTGGCAGATAGTGATGTGCCTTAATTGAGCCGGCTGATCCGGAAAAGGACAATGGCCTCTCGGACAAAATATTTACATGATTAAGTTTCATGTTAAGTGAGGTAACAAAGGCCCGCCCTGGTGAAATTTGGCTAGACAACTGCATCTCAACGGTTGTTGTGTAGGCCCATAGACTATCGTTTAAGCAACAGGTGGAACCACTTCATAATAAACATAAACCCTAAAAAAATAGTGTAACGATGTATGAGAGACTTTTTCCAGGAAATATATCTTATGATCTTGATTTCTTTTACTATCTGTAATCAGCTGCATTACGTAATTCATTGTCAGAAATGTCTAATATGCATATATCGAACTACATCACTCTCAAAGCAGTTACTATTGGGACCGATTATACCCACCCAGGGTACGATTTATGTTATCTGAATTTCAGAGCTGAAATCATAGTCGTGTGCAGCAATGCCTTTTTTAATATGATAAGCGATAAATCACTTTCCAATATATATCTAGTCTGACACTAGAACAAGCTAGGTAAGAAGAGGGAAGCATCATTTTGAACGGTACTGTCAGCGACTATAATCACAAGATAAAAGTGGTTTTCATCTCGTACGTGTTTTAGTAAAATCTCGTACGTGTTTTCGAGTATTGGAACTCAAAACCCACACATCGCAGCACATAACTCTGGCGGCAAAGAAACAAAAGCTAAATACCATAGACGTCGTATAATCTGAACAGGCATATGACCAGAGTGAGGTAGAAACTACTGGTAAATTTGGTGGCGGCGTCGCGCTGGATCCAGTCCTTGTGGGCCGACACGCGGGTGTACAACGTGGTCTTGTCGAAGCTCTTGCCGCTCACGACCCCCACCAAGAGGTCCTTACCGGGCACCTCTGCGGGGTCGCCCGTGCCCTTGCACACAAGCGGCCCCCCCGAGTCACCCCTGGCCACGTCCGTCAAGCTCGAGTCCGAGCAGACGTGAGCGTCCATGTTCACGCTCCACAGGACGGAACACCTCCAGCGCTCCATCACCTCGATGCTCGCAACCAGCAGCACGTGGGACGCCGTCTCCGTCATGCCGTGCCCTATCATCCCGAACCCCACGGCGTGGCAGGGCCCGTCGTAGTCTTTTGTGACGTTGGCCGGCACCACGTAGCTTATGTAGTCGCCGTACACCCAATTCCTGACGAACACCAGCGCGATGTCGTTCTTGGGGAAGCTGAAGTAGGCATGCAGCACGATCCTGAGGATGGCCCTCCATTGGTTCTCGGGCTCCGTCACTTCGCTGCCGGAGTGCAGGATGAAGTTCCTGATGTTGCCCGCCACCACGCGCAGCGCGCTGGGTTCCCTCAGGTATTTATAGTTGTACACCTCGAAGCAGTGGGCGGCCGTCAGGACCTTGTTCACGCTGATGATGCTGCCGCCGCAGAGGTTCTTCCACAGCATCCTCTCGCTGTTGTACCTTCGGACTGGCTCCTTAATCGATACGAAATAAGGTATTTGGCCGACTGTCGCCGGATACCCATTGACGATGGTCAGTTGCGCGTGGAATTTGCCCAGCGACTCCTTGGTAGAGGCCTTCCTCTCCTCACATAGTACGGTTGTTGTGGCGATTGTGGAAAGTATGGTGAAATATTTAAGAAACATTCAATAAATTTTGAACAGACCGACCCGTTGCCGAAACATGATTGACAATGACAGAACTTTGGCGTCCGTCTTTTGTGATTGATAGTTCATGTTTTTCTAGATTTGGTAAAAAGTCTGTTTATACATATATATAAGTCATTTGGGTCGTTGTTTACATTAGCGGCACGCTCGTTTTTCGTATACAATTATTTTTAATCGGTAGTTAAACATAACCGAAACAGTATCTAATTACGAAGTAAAAATTTACGTCATGATTTAAAGTACCTAAATTAAAAAAGTTAAAATAAAGTTTTTAAGTGTGAGCTCACTTGTTTTATTTATTGGGGAATACAGTTTACAAAAAACATTATTATTGATGAATTAAGTTCAATGTTTATTTATTTCAAACTGATAAGTTATTAGGTACTTTTTAAGTATAGAATAGCCCCGTAGCGACTTCAATAATTGCAATAAGTATTTTTTTCTGAACATGTAAAAGTTGGCGTCAATTTTTACTTCGTAATTATTGTTTCGATTATGTTCCTCTATCAATTAAAATATTTGTATACGAAAAATTCGCGCGCCCCTAATGTAAATAATTAGTACCGTCGTTTGTAGTTGTTAATTGAATATCCTTCAGACGGTTGCTTATCAGTAACATTTTAATATCACAGCGAAGCCAGTCCTTTCATTCGGGCGAATATCGTGACATTAAAAATAATTACGAGAACATTTTCACAGGGCACACGAGGGTAGCAATTATTCTCCCGAAAGATGTACCGCTCTGATGCAAATACAATAAGCCCAACAAATTACTCATTTGTCTGTAGGCGCGCCATTTATAAAATGGGGTTGAGTCAAAAGAAAATTGAGGAGAGCGTGATTAACGCGTAATTACAGGCTGCGGTTCCAGTGACGTCACCGAAGTCGTTCGAGTGGCAATTATAATGGCGGCACCCGTTGCTTAGCAACGGTCGAAAACGAGCCAATCGGCAAGCGACGCCTGAATCGCACTAGCGAAGTTTCCAGATTCCTCCATGCACGAAAACGAAGTCCATTTCGAACGTTGACCTTTACCGACACACTTTCGTACATGTGATTGATGAAGACGTTGCCTAAATATTGTATTGTGAAACTCTGAACAACAATTATCTTCAGAAATTGATTAAATGTTTATCGTGAGTCGTTCACATATCACAAGCACTTTTGACCTTACAAAAATCATCTTTCTCTTTGAGACGAGTCTGGAATTAGCGCTGGATAAATAATAAATACAATTTTTGCTTAAATTCGATCACTGAATTAATCTTCTCTTTGTATTTTATTTAATAGCGAACACAGGTTGTATTCGTTAACTTGGGGACTTTAGTTTTTTAAAGACAATAAAATATGTAATCTTGTAAACAATTATATGCACAGTGTAATTTAATGTGCGTTTAGTTTTAACTGACGTGTTTGATCGCAGTTGAACGTATTAATAAATGACTAGCCTTGAGATAGCAAAAAACTACAGCAGAAAGTTCCAAAGTGCCAAAAAATATCGTAAGCCATTGTAAAAAATGAAAACACATGTTAAAATATCATTTCTTTATTAAATTCATCTTATAAACGTCTTTGCTCTTACAAAACAAATGTCGGTATAAAAATAGGGATGTCGAATAAGTATCGTTATATCGATATTTTTAATTCTATAGATATATCGATATTTCCAGACAACATATTTGTATCCGATTTATCGATACAAAATATTCAATGTCGAAAATCGTATGAAAAACAGAGTAGAGTGAAGAGTCCGTAGGTGTCAAATATTTATTTAATACTTGACATACCTACTTTATTTAGAAAGAGGTTTTTGGACTATATTCGATATATGAATATTTTTATATCGATATATCGAGACCAATATTGATGTTTTTATAAATATCGATATGTTTCTTCACTTTCGACATCCCTATATAAAAACATCGTACCCTCTACGGCGAAGCCTGTTTTTATATTCCTCTCAGTGTATATGTAATTCATAATTGTACAATGTAAGTCTGTAAATAAACCGCAATTGAAACTGTTTCGCGGGTAGAAAAACGAATAAAATATTAACTTTAATATACATACCGTAGATTTATAAACGTACGGAAGACGAAATAATAAAAACCCATAGACAATAATGTTTAATGTGATAAGTGTTTATGAAAAGAAAAAACATTATTGTAATACTTTAAAAAAATTTGGTTAATATAAGTCGTCAAAAGCAATAACTACACAATTTCAATACACGTTAATAAGTAAAGTTGATTTTATGAATAACAACTACATTTAACACGTAATTAATAGACCTCTTTCCGACAAACAATTCATTGTCTACGATTTTTTTTGTCGACATGATCACAATAACTAGTATAACATTATTTAAACACTAATATACATTTTGGCCTCAGTTTTGTGTTTTGTTAAGTGTAAAAATAGGGCCTATTTTGATTTATTGTTACAAATACGCCATTAAGAAATATATCAATATTTCTTTGTCAACTCCGGTTGCTAAATTGTTAGTAAGCAGTAAAAAAATAGTTTAAAACACTTTCGAAAATTAGGCGTAGAAAAATTTAAATGTTCTGTAGTTACTCAAGCGATGACACGATCAAAGTTTTCTTCATATGCAAAGTCACATTGATATGAGTTCACTTTGATATCGATGACAGCCAATCCAGTACTATTGGCTAGTTATTTTTCAAAGAGAAAAAAGCGAAACAGGGCTGGTGCAATAGACTTGAATATCGCCAGTAGGCGAAATCCACCTCATGATACCCCTCAAAGAATTGTGAAGAAATGTACTTACTTTGAAGAATGGAATGCGGCTTACTTCCACTTTGAATATTCGCAGTCATCAAAGTGCCAATCAAAGTAGCTTCAAAGCAGCTATCAAATATATTTTATCAAAATATTTGACCACATATTTTGTCAGAAGCTTTGATTGATCGCGTCAGCGCAATTCCAAAATAAGTTACATTAATGTCATAAGTACTCCGCTTAAAAACTATCAAAGTCAACATTGATAATCTCACAATCAATAATTGCAACTATTTCAACTTGTATAACCTCTAGTTTTTTAACTTGTCTAACGTAGTTATACTTAAATATACTTGATTATAATTTAAAATGTCTCGGTTAGCGCAGTTGCTAAGCGATCGAGCGTGGCGTCCGGGGTCCTGGGTTCGATTCATCCAGGATATTTATATGACTTAATACTAATCGTTCCGGATCTGGCTGTTTTTTGTTTGAACTGACAACACAGAATCTTATCATATGTACCCCTACTTAGGATAAGATTATGTGTTGCCCAATGTTCTTAAAACGAAAAAGTAAAAAATTATTGGAAAATCACTATTATGTGGAAGCCACGCCTAAATGTAGTATGGATATGTCACATGTTACGTTTGATTTTTGAGTTGAAATGGGGTAAAAATGTCTTGATATATTTTGTAATCGTCATAGGTTTTAACACACACAGTACACCAGAAATGGTAGAACATAAAGGATCCACAGTTTATAAGGCCTATATTGTACCATGTTCTAACAAATAAACGTATCTCTCTTTAAAACATTAAGCTTGCAACAGAACTTTTACATAATAACTCTAAATATTATGATTACAAAAATTTTCCTTTTCTAACATGAATAGGTTCTAAGGTAACCGTAGCGTATTCTGTCAAAAATATCACAGAATACGCTAAGGGTCCAATTTGGTCATGGAGCGTTTGGAGGCGCGAATCTAGAGTAAAAGTTTTAGCTTACTAATTGATGGAAAGAGAGGAACATATAGGTCTCTGCGTTAACAAAGGAAAAGTGGGAGATTGAAACGAGGAATCATTTACAACTTAACTTACATTATAATATATCCGTCTAGATGCCGTGAACAATGTTTTAAATTTTGTTTATGTGGAAATGTGTAAAGCCAACTGGCGGTTCACCTGATGTGAAATGATACCGCCCATGGACGTTTGCAACACCCGTAGGGTTGCATATGCGTTGCCACCCTTTAATAACGTGGGCCCCGGCTACCTCACTTACATGAGGGAAACCTGGAGGAAAAAACGCGGAAGTATGATAAATTGGTACCGGTGGTAGTTTACTTACGAACGTATTCATTTTTATGTAAAATGTTGACGTTTCATAAGAACGCGCAAACGTCTATGTGAATAAATATATTTTTGATTTTGATTTTTGAATTGAATTTATGAGACTAACACCCGGTTTGATCATCGATAACAGATCAGCAGAAGTTAACTAATCTGCTGTCGAATGGCTTCTCAAACGTTATTTAAGTTGCCAAAAGGATGGTTGAACCCTGTGAATGGATCAGAATGATCTTAATTATCAGAATGTTATACAAGTGCAAACAAAACACTTCCTTACCTTTTATTTTGTGAGTACCTTTTGCAAGTCATAAACACACGCACAGAATGTCATTTTTTTTAAGGAGTCAAAAATATGTGTTTATTTTAGTGTTCACGAAACGTACTGACGGGCGGTTTTCTGTAAGTTCATGCATCTGAAAATCTAGACGTAGGTATATATGATCAAAGCATTTCGAATAAAATTGTTCGGGAGGAAATTTACGTTGGGACTGGGAAGCAGTGGGGGGGGGGGGGGGGGGGGTTTATGTCCATTATAACCCATCTGGATCCGTATAGAGTTTCAGCCATAGAGCTGTTCCGTCGTCAAACAAGTTACATCGTCGGTCATCATAATATAGAAACTATAGGAATGTTCGCGTGTCTGTAGATCGTGTTCGCGACCTCACTTGTCCTGCAACTGGACGTAGTTGGCGGGGAAGAGGCCGTAGGCGCCTTTGCACAGGCCCTGCCACCAGCCCTCGTCGATCTGTAAGAGAATAAGTAACAGCCGATATGCCCCACTGCTGGGCAAACGCCTCCTCTGTTTAGATATTAGGGCATAGTCCACCACGCGACCCCACTGCGGATTGGCGGACTTCATATATTTTCGAAACATGTACACAGAACTTTATGCTTATAAGATGGGAAGTTAGACTTCTTAGATAGGGTGAATAATATACGGAGAATAAAGAACACCAATTAATTCATAATAGATGATGAACAGAAATTAAATCAAATGTGGTAGGGTCATGTATTATTGTTTGACTGGTGATTGAGGTAATTCAGATTCTAGATGTTCATAGATAGCGATAATCAGTTAATATCAGATAACACGGCCGCTTCTCTTGAAGTTCTTACATAAAAAAAAATATAGTGGAAGAGAATTCGGGACCGTGAAAAGTTCAGAATATAGTAAAGTGTGCAGTACAGTCGGAAGATAACAAATATGAGAGGCGAAGAGGTGTTGGTAGAATGCTAGAGAAATGGAATCGGTATTAGTGGACTCTGAGGATTGGGTCTTAATCGGGCGCCGACCATGATAATATTGCTGATAAGGTCGTCGGTGATTTAGGAATGGAATCAGGGTTAGCGGGCCTGGAGATTGGGTTTAAATCGGGCACCGACCATAAAAATGTTGGTGATGTGGTCGACGGAGACTTGGGAACGGGATCAGGGCTAGCGGGCCTGGAGATTGGGTTTAAATCGGGCACCGACCATAAAAATGTTGGTGGTGTGGTCGTCGGAGCTTGGGAACGGGATCAGGCTAGCCTGGAGATGGGACCGACCATAAAAATGTTGGTGATGTGGTCGACGGAGACTTGGGAACGGGATCAGGGCTAGCGGGCCTGGAGATTGGGTTTAAATCGGGCACCGACCATAAAAATGTTGGTGATGTGGTCGACGGAGACTTGGGAACGGGATCAGGGCTAGCGGGCCTGGAGATTGGGTTTAAATCGGGCACCGACCAAGGAACGGGATCAGGGATTAGCGGGCCTGGAGATCGGGCACCGACCATGACGATGTGTCGCTTGGGAAGGGATCAGGGCTCTTAGGATTGGGTCTAAATCGGGCACCGACCATAAAAATGTTGGTGATGTGGTCGACGGAGACTTGGAAACGGGATCAGGGTCAGCGGGCGCGGAGACTGGGTCGTTTGGCACCGACCATGACGATGTTGGTGATGAGGTCGTCCGGGTCGAAGGAGATCTCGTCGGGCGCCGCCGCCTGGTAGTCGTAGAGCGCGCGCGCCGTGTACCCCTCCTCCTCCTCGTCGCCCTCCCCGTCGCCCTCGCCCTCCCCCGCGGCCGCCTCCCACCCCACCGGCGACACCACGATCGTCGGCTGCCGGCACTGCGCACGCCGAATGCCACCTTATGCCCATTGCGGTAGAGTCCAACGGGACCATCGACGCGCGGTGACGGTCAAAATGCACCTTATTCGGATAGCAGTACAGTCGAATGTTGTTTGCACAGTCGATTTATTCGTTTATTGTATGCTTACATAATTAAACGGTGGTAGGGCCACGCAGCAGCCTCGGCTGTTGCACGAATGGGCAGGCCCGTCTGGGTAAGTACCACGACCTCACAGAAGACCAGCGTAAAGTGGAAGTATGACAAATACTTTCGCGTTTCGTCTGGTGAGTGAGGTGGCCGGAGCCCAATTTTCAAAAGGTTGTCAACACATCTGTAACCCTCGGGTGTAGCAGATGTTCATGGGCGGCGGTATTCAATTACCATCAGGTGAACCGTCTGATCCTTTGGCAACTTTTCCCATAAAAAAAAATAATAATTTAATAAGAAAAAAGTGAAACTCGCTTAGTGAACCAGTGGTAGTTTTTTTGTCGTTCAATAAGAGCTTAAAATAGGCCTGTATTGAATAAAGAATTTCTCACCTTTAATTAGTGCACGGTAATAGAAACCAGTACGATTTATTCGCACCGGCTTAGTAAGAAATTTTTCAAACGGCCGATCGCGCAAGCGGTAATGACAGGACAATCGAATAGAAAGCTTACTTAAAGGCCGCAAAGCACTTTTTTTCATGGACGCGAATCAATAAATAATATTCAGGCAACAATACCATGAACGATAGAGTAAAAGAACAATCGTTGCCTATAAAAAGTTACCGTCGAAAGGCACCACAGGCAGTGATGCTCAAATAATATTTGCCACGTTACTGAAGCCATCCGATGGTTTATTGAACTGTTGTTTTTTCAATTTATCCCGTATAAGATCTGCACTCCATACAAATTATGCGTTGGTATGTTCGTAAAAAAATTACATGCACATTACAACAGCACTACAACACGATAGTGGATGTGTTATACGTCTGCGTTTCGTCTGGTGTGAGTGAGGTAGCCGGGGCCCGTTTCATTGAAAGGTGGCAAGGCATCTGCAACCCTTAGGGTGTTGCAAACATCAATGGCAGTGATTTTCATCAGCATCAGGTCCGCCAGCTCGTGTGCCGCCTTCTCACATAAAAAAAAACATTTCAAAAGCTTTATTATCACTAAAACTTTTCGAGCTATGTTTATTACTAACTAACTGAGGTTAGCAAAAACTTCGTTACCATTTTAAATTTGCCACTGACCTCTTTGACCTCCTTGATCTCTTTGGGCTCGCCTACAAGGGTGACATCGGGCAAATTGGGCTGCGTCGCTTCGGAATGTTTGCTCACTGGAACCTCTTTGGCCTCTGTTTCTGGTATTTGGCTAACCGGGATCTCCTCCTTCTTGTCACTCTTCTCGTTTGCTTGGATCGATTCTCTCTTTCCCTCCGCCTGCTTGATATGTTCCGCTACCTTTACCTCTGCTTCGGGCTGTTTCGGGGCTGTCTCTTTCGGCTTCGGATCTTCGTTGAGCGTCTCTTCTTTCTCCTTTGACAGCTTCTCTTTCTCCTACAGGAGGAACGATATCAAATACATTTCGATTTGTGGCTTATCTTGACTGATTTATGCAATTATAATATGCCACCCTTCTGTCTATTGGTCCATCGTAATCGATTTTTATTTACGTGGAGAATTGTTAAAAGGTTCATGAGAGCTAAAACGAATGAAGTAATTTTCTGATTCTCAAATTAAGTACCCGGTTTGTTTCATAGTTCCTTCAGACATAACTAAGATACAATTATATTTGATGTATGTTGTTACAGGTTTTAAATAGCGTTCAGCTCATAGACGAAATGATTACGTTATATAGTACTAGCTAGCTGACCCGGCACACGTGTCTTGTCATATAAAATATTTCTACAGAATTTGTAAGGTGGAAAAAAATGTTTAGGGTAGACCGACTGTATCAATTAGGGGTATGAAAAATAGATTACGACCGATTCTCATACCTAAGAAATAGATATAAATATATAATAATTTCGGCGGAGCAGAGCAAGTAACATTCGTAATGTAACACGAGAATTTTATTTATATATATATATATATATATATATATATATATATATATATATAATAGTATAATATAATAATGCTTTATGAATTGACAATTCCTACGTTAAAAAATCGTTCCATAATTTTTTGACTAACACTGGAAATGATATACCTACATAATCTTACATGATATGAAATTTCCGATGATAAACTAAAACGATACATGACTTTATCATTTGTCAACGTGTTTACGTTAAGTACATCTTTTTAAGTTATGAACTTAAAAAGAAATATGTTATAATAATTTACCTTCTGCGATAGCTCCTTGTCCATCATCTGTCTCTCTTGCCTTATCTTCTGCACGGACTGCATTGCTTCCTGATTCAATAAATAAAATGGTTAAAGGGCATCTAAGACACATCATGGGTCAACATAGTCATTTCAGCCTGTTTGAGTCCACTGCTGAACATATGCCTCTCCACAGACTGCCACGAAGCACGAACTACCTGCATCCATCTACTTCAAACACTTGCACAGGTCGTCACTCCATCTAGTAAGGGTCTTCCTACACTGAGATGGCCAGTACGAGGCTGTCACTTGAGAACCTTTCTGCCCCATCGCTTATCGGTTCTAGCTATATGGCCCATCCCCACTTCAGCTTGCTAATCTTCTACGCTCGGTGACTTTTGTTCTTATGCGGATGTCGTCATGTTAATCATGGGTGGATCAAGAGAATCTGTGGAAACAAGGAGGGGAGGGGGTTTGCTCTCACCTGCTCCTTCTCCCTGGCCATGTTCTCGAACTTGGCGCGTATGGAGGAGGGCTTGGCTGCGCCCAGCTCCGGCTTGGGGCGTGCGTACGCCGTCCCCACTGGGCCGGGCGAGTCGAAGCGGTGCGCGGAGCCGTCCACTCGGTCGCTCTGCACGCCGAACTTGCCGCCGAAGCCCTACGCACACGCGCACGTAATGGGTGGTCCGATGTACGCACGCAACGTAACGCACATATACGCACGCGCGCGTAACGCACATATACGCACGCGCGTGGAACGCACAATCCGCTAGACGCTAGCAAACTAACACGTAACGTACGTTCCGCTAAACGCACTCAAACGCTCTCACGCACAAAACGCACCTTCCGCTACATGTACGCAAAGAATCACGCACATAACAAGCGATCCGATACATCAAATCCTCACGCAAGTAACTCATGCGTACGATCGCACGTAGAACGCACTATCCGCTAGACGTTCGCAAACACCCACGCAATTAACGCACGTTTCGCTAAACGCACTCAAACGCTCACACGCACATAATGCACCTTCCTCTACATGAACGCAAGCAACCATGCACATAACAAACGATATATCAAATTCTCACGCAAGTAACGCATGCATCGAGCGTAAACCGCACAATCCGCTAGACGCTCGCACACATGTAACGTACTGTTATGTACAATTTACAGTATTGAGTATTTGCGTAGGTCAGCAATTTAGAATTATATAAAAACAGTTTCGATGCCCAAGTACGGCAGTCAACATCAAGCAGTCAAACTCTATACTCGGTCCGATAACAATCATTTTTATAACGTAGTTGTGTGTCAGAATTAAAATTCCTTACAGCCAATAAAAAGTGTTTTTTTTAAAAAGGACCCACAGAGCGCCATCCTTACAGTACGTTCACACGCACTCAAACGCTCACGCACATCGTTATGTGCGTGATCATTTGATGTGCGTTTACCTTCAACTACATGTACGCAAACAACCACGAACATAACGCACGATCCACGCACACCTTCAGCGGCGCTAGACTAGCGCAGTTTCGAGTTGGTATACGCAATACCCCGGTGTATACACATCGATGATTCGGCCGACACCTTTCAATTATTACGGAGCGTGTCTCAAAAAACCATGCAGTAATTTCCGATGGCTTCAGTATTCATCGCAATAGGAATTATCATAATGCAAAAATGGGCAGGTCCATCCGGGGAAGTACCACGACATAACAGAAGACCGGCGTGAAGAAGTTTTACAATTCTGCGTTTCGTCTAGTGAGTGAGCGAGGTAGGCAGGGCCAACTTGTCTAGGTGTTGCAAATGTCCTCGCGCGGCGGTTATCACTCAACATCACCTGAACGGCCAGCTCGCTTGCTAATTATTTTCAACTGGACACCAAGTATAGAAGAATACTATAAACTTTCAGGAATGCAACATCAAATCCTCGTTTCCATAGTGACGTATTTATGCAACCCGGATGCAACAAATTTCTCTATTTTCCAAAAGTCCCATTAATTCTTGTGTGCCCAGGTCCCCGGTAAATATGAAAATAAAATATAAATATAAATAAATAATAAAAGGGTGGAGGAGAGAGCAGGTGATAAGGGGTGAATAAGACTGATCGGAGGTGACTATGGGTGATAAGGGGTTTGAGGATGTGAGTACGGGTGGTAGAGGTGTTGAGTGCGGGCGAGAGGGGGTGAGTTGGGGGTGATAAGGAGTGAGTACAAATGTTGGGGAGTGAGTGTGGGTGGTAGCGTATGCGTACGGATGAGAGGGGGTGAGTGCGGGAGATAAGAGGCGAATGTGGGTATTGGGGAGAGAGTGCAGGTGGTAGCGTATCGGTGCGGGAGGCAGGGTATGAGTGCGGGTGAGAGCGGGTGATAAGGAGTGATGAGGAGTGAGTGCGGGTGTTGGGGAGCGAGTACCTTGTTGTGGTCGGTCTGGCTGGCGTGCTTGGGCGCGCGCTCGACGTGGTCCCAGCCCAGCGCCGAGGCGTCCTGCCGGTCGCTCTGCACGCCGAACTTGCCGCCGAAGCCCAGCGCGCAGTCTGAGGGCAACGAGCCTCTTCACTACGTCTCGTTCTCGCAGATATATGTCCCTATAGGTCCCACTGCTGGGCAAGGCCAATCCCACTGCGGATTGCCGGACTTTACATATCTTCGAAATTTTTTTTCATGTTATTTCTTCGAAAATACGCAGGTTTCTCTACGATGTTTTCCTTCTATATTTTAAAAACTTCATTGGTGCCGGCACCGGGTATCGAACTCAGGTTGCTCGAACATATTGAAATAAAAGCGCCGGAACAATGAGCTATCACGGCTGTGACGATGGCTGTCTGTGGGGGAGGTGTTTGTCCAGCAGTGGACACTAACAGTACTTCGGTGCGTCATATAGCAACAGAGGTGTACATTAAAACACAATTAACCAGTACAGTGCTCGTAAGTTTCGTGTGGATTGAGACAATATTGTCACGTCACATTTTTGACAAGCATTACATCTGGTGTTACTGCACTAATAAGATTGCAGCGTTTCTATCCGTGTATTATGGAAACATCAGTGACTGGGTGAGGCGAGTTTTGGTGGGTTATTGAGTGAAGTGAGGTGAACAGTCGATTTGGTGATAGCGACGGGTGGGGTAGTGGCGGTGAGTTCTAGTGGGTTGTTGGGTGAAGTGGGGTGAGCAGTCAATATGGTGGTAGCGATGGGTGGAGTGGTGGCGCGCGGTGAGTTCTGGTGGATTGTTGGATGCAGTGTGGTGTGCAGATGATATGTGGTAACAACGTGTGTGGGGCGCACCGGTCTGCGAGTGGTGCTGGTGGGGCTGCTCGTGGTGGTCCCAGCCGAGCGCGGCCTTGTCGACGCGGTCGCTCTGCACGCCGAACTTGCCGCCGAAGCCCACCGAGTAGTCCTTCTGCGAGGGGTGCTTCGGAAGCTCCTCGCGGTGCTCCCAGCCGGCCGCGCTCTGGGGGAGCCAGAGGGCTGTTTTATGTGAGAAAGTGGCAAACGGGCCGGCGGGTCCCCTGATGTTAAGTGATAACCGCCGCCCATTTGCAACGGTTGCAAATGTTTTGCCACCTTTAAATAAAGTGGGCACCGGCTACCTCACTGCTACTGCACGCTGGTCCTCTGTGAGGTCGTGGTACTTAACCGGATGGACCTGCCCATTCGTGCAAGTGTTGCGTGGCCCTACCACCGGGTGCGATCGGAACAGCTCTGCAGTCGCTTAGACTGAGACGGTGGGGTGATGAAAGTGGTGGTGGTGTTCAAAGGTCTAGACGGATTGAAGAAGTTGTCTCTTGGCGAGTTTTGCGGTAGACAGTCTGGTTTTAAATGGTTTACTTATATATAATTAGCTGGCTCGCGCAACTTCGTCTGCACCAAAGCCCATACGTTTGGACTTTTAACATAGTGCCATCTATTACATACTTACTCAATCCAGCCGATAAATGTATCTTACACCGCCATCTGTTAGAATCTTATGGAACTCACAGATACTTTGTCATATTATAAACAAATGAATGATTTTTAAGAAAAAAAATTGCGTCTATAAATCGAGATATAAACTATCCTATCTCTCAAGTTGTATCAAACTGCACGCGGTGTGCAAATTTGATTAAAATCGGTAAAGTAGTTTAGGAGTCCATCGCGGACAAAGTGACACGTAATTTATATAAATCAAGAGAAGATTGTACGGTATAATCGTTTAAAATATTGTAAAAAAAACAGTTATCTCTAATAAGTGGTTAAATGGTTGTAAATAATTGGTTTTAAAAAAATAATTAAACCTACTAAATCTGAAAACCGCGTAAGTGCTTCCGTAAATCACTTAATTATATTCCTTTCTTCCTTACTAATATTATAAAGGCGAAATTTTTTATGTATGTATGGTTTTGTTACACTTTCACACAAATACCAGTGAATTTTATTATTATAAAGTTTCAGTAAAAAAATTTAAAATAATATAACGTATACATCAGAATAACATATATATATTTTTATGTATATCTGTCTTTCTTAATGTTACTCTTTCAACCTATTTATTCTACGCAGACGTAGTCGCGGATAGCGGCTAGCTGTTAACAGCCGTAAACTTTCCAAACACGATATTGCGTCACCCGTGGCCAGCCGGTGGGTGGGCGACGGGCGACATAATATGTCACGCAACGAGCATATGCGACGAGGCTGTCACCTTGTCGACGCGGTCGCTCTGCACGCCGAACTTGCCGCCGAAGCCCACCGCGTAGTCGGTCTGCGACACGTGCTTGTCCACTTTGGCCACGTAGTCGTGGCCGACCGCCGACTTGTCCATTCTGTCCGTCTGCACGCCGAACTTGCCGCCGAAGCCTGCCAGGGGCGGGACACCTCACTTGGGTCACGTACGGGGCGGTTCACCCGATGTTAAGTGACATTTGCAACGCTCTTACGGTTGCAATCGCGTCGGCAGCTATAAAGCGGGCCCCGGCTGCCTCACTCGCCAGACGAAACGCGGGCGGTTCACCTGATCTTAAGTGATAACCGCCGCCCATGGACATTTGCACCATAGAGTTGTTCCGTTGCCAGCTTGTACTAAAGTGGGCCCCGGCTACCTCACTCTTGAAATGCAGAAGTGTAAAGACGTCCACTTCATGCCGGTCTTCTGTGAGGTCGTGGATCCTCCCCGGAATGACCTGCCCGCTCGAAGAATGCTGCGCGTACTTACAGTACCTCTCGCAGTATTTTTAATCGTACATAAATTTCACGTGGATAAGCCCCCAGATTCGACAATTACTGCGGGTCGCACAAGTGCTTGTCCCGTGCGAGAATCGAACCCACGACCCTCGATACCGAAGATAACACGTTGGCAATTGCCCTACGAAATCGTCTCCGAGTGCAGGGTACAATACAAATGAAATTAATATGTGACCGTATGGGACAAAGACCAACCTCAATGTAAAAAGACCTTATAAAATTAGTTCCTAAATGACAGTTAACAAAAATAAAAACTGCCCTTTGAGTTCGTTTAAAAAATCTTAAAAAAATTTGGTTCATAAATGAGAGTTAACAATTAACATAAAACTCCTCTTTTTTGGATTCTGATGAAAAAAATTCAAAAATGTAAGGCAATTAGTTGACTTTAGGCCGTTCTATAGCTAAGTGGTGTGGATAGAATATATCTAAGTAAATAACTCATATGTTTTAAACAGTAAAAGAAAACTTTTCTCTAAAATCTCTTTAAATACCATAGAAATCATAACCCCTAAATTATACTATCTAAATTATAGATGAAATTATAAATACTTGCTGGGTTTTTGCTTCATATATAGCTGAAGCATTACATGTCATTTGTTCCCACCCCTTTGTAGGTTATAGCATATAAGATTACTACGGTGTGATGGTAAGCCATTCCTCCAATATACCTTGGGCATAGTCTTTCTGAGAGACATGCTTCTCGGTCTTCCCGACGTAGTCGTGGCCGACAGCGGACTTGTCCATTCGGTCTTCTTGCACGCCGAACTTGCCACCGTATCTGCGAAGACGTCCATAGACAAAGACAAAATTTTAAAAAAAGCTTGCCAGTTTTACGGTTATTTACACTCCAGTGGGCTAGGAAATTCCTAATATCAAAACATATATAAAAACACCGTATCGATATTCATCTATTAAAATATAAATAATGAAAAAACTCTGTTTTACTCAGAAAAATTGTCTCTGAAATAATTTAATGTGGCAAATAAAAACCATAGGCACAAAAATCTCTTAAAATGCAAAATCCTTATCAATATTATAAACGCGAAAGTTTGTATGTATGGATGGATTTTAATGAAAGTTTACAATAATATAGCTTATACATCAGAATAAGACGTAGGCTATAATTTATATACATATTTTCTATCTGTCTTTCTGTCTGAATGTTACGCCTTCAGAATATTCTACGCAGACGTAGTTGCGGGCAGCAACTAGTAAAATGTATGCCACTTTGTCAATTTTTTAATTAATATCATCAAATCATGATGAAGTTTATATGACACAGCTCCTGAGGTACTTTCTGATAAAAAGATTGATTGAAATCTGATTACATGGTAAAGAATTATCTCTGGACCTAGATAAAATACTACATAGATGAACTTCTGTCTCTTTTGGTTAGTGAAAAAAGTATATTATATTGTAACTAAAATAATGCCAGTCCATTACCCGAAAGAAGGTTTAGGTCCTTGCTCGTATTCCTTATTTTTCCTCAACTTGTCTTCCTCCAAGACCTCCTCTCTCAACTTCGCCATGCTGTGAAATATTAATAATAATTATTTTCTTCAATATTTCTTAAGCAGGAGATGTAATGCTTTCCTCCCGCAAAGACAGGATGAACAATTTTGTTTAGCATTAATTTTATATTTGTTAAGTATTAAAAACTACCGACCCGCCCCGATTTCACACATACTGGATGGATTAATTTTAATGATTTTTTTAATGATGGAAATAATTCTATAGTAACAGTTGAGAGATTGTATTGCCAGTAGTGTTGTGATCTGAACTTGCGTCGTTAGATTACTCAAATTCAATATCCAGCAAGCAGTCACCACAGCCCACCTCATAACATTAATGAAACATATATAAAAAGTAAAGTAAAGTAACAGCCAATACATGTCCCACTGCTGAGCAAAGGCCTCCTCTATACAAAGGGTATCAGGGCATAGTCCACCACGCGGCCCCACTGCGGATTGGCGGACTTCACATATTTTCGAAATATATATTTTTTTTGTTATTATTTCGAAAATATGCAGGTTTCCTCACGATGTTTTCCTTCACCGCGGAGCACGTGATAAGTCAGCAAAGTTAAAAACTTCACCGGGGATTGAACTCAGGTTGCTCGAGTATATTGAATTAAAGGCGAACGCCCGGACACTGAGCTATCACGGCTCGAAACATATATGATTACATTCATTACACCTAAATGTGTACATCAAAATATCTGAACAGGTACAAAATGTAGTACTAGTACTCCATGTAATAATAGTAGTAATTTTATACATATGATTCATGATATTGTTTTGAAATGAGTCACTGACACAAGCTTCCTTTGTTGTTTTCCTTTTTACATCAGACAGTTCAGACGAGTTCAAAGGGAAGAGGAATGATAATAATTTATAAAAGAATTTGTATACAATAGGCGAACATACATTAAGTTATTTTATAACGTTATGAATACACAATATGTTTGCGCAACTCAAACTTTTTTATTTTATCATTATATTTATTTTATTAAGCAAAAACAACCTCTATCTTTTTTTGCTTTGTTCACAGTAACTTGAATAAATATCATAAGCTATTTATGAGAGGCGGTCAAGAAGTTTGCTGAATGGCAAGGAAAGAAAATTAAATTAAGCGCAAAATTAATTTTTCCTTTTCAATATACTTGGGAGTGGGTTTACAGCGTTTTTGCCTCAACTTTACACTTTTTTGATGTTTTATACAAATTCTTTGAGAGGTCCGAAAAAATGTATGAAAGTTAATTGAGTCACTTATTATTAATTCTGCAATAGCTTTAACTTTATTAGGACTACCAGCTTCTTAAAATTAAAATCCTATTAATGTCGAAAAATAATCTGCCCTTACTCAATGGCTTCCACATTCCTCCCGCCAGGCCCCCAACGCTGCTCATGTTCGCTGATTTCATTAACAAAATCCGGATCTGTCTCCCAATCGTCAGCCTCGGCCGGTGCTGGTGCCGTAACATCTGTTGCCGCTTTCCACATCTACAAAGCGCAAATCACAATAGCTTAGTCGTTTTATTTTTCTATTATGGCAAACAACAAGACTGCTGCCAATTGATAACTACAACACCTGTTATACGATGAGTACAGCATCAGACAAGGCTGGCCTTAAATGCAATAGCAGAAACTGCTGCATGGCTACCACCGTAAAATATTTCATCATTTATTTGAAAAAAAAAAAAAAACTACTTGCACTGCAGAATAATTTTATTTTCTAACATCAAGATCTAACCTCTGACATGCCTGAGATGCTTGTTTTATTATGTATTAAGTCATTTATTATAATTATAAGTAAATTATTGTTTTCATGAAGTAAATGAAAGTTCTCAGAGGAATGTAAAGAGTCAGGGAGTCACGTGACATTACCAGGCAGTAGAAAACAGTAAATTAAGTTTACTATTAATTACAATAATTAATAATACTATCAAAACAAAACATGGTCATGGTGAAAAAATGTGCTCTAAAACCTATTATTCATACCAATATACTCACCCTTCTTTATGTTAGCTTTTTGCTGGGATGATTTGAATTTGGATTAATAATTAATCTAATGACTTAATTGATATAAATCAGATAACGCAGTACCATTTACATATATTAAATTATAAATTTTTAAATTAAAATGAGCCTTAAGTTTCACTGTAAGTGGAATATAAGAATTTTTTTCAAAAATGATAATTTTGTAATGTTATAAGGGCGTAGTAATTTTAAGGGTAAATTACCACTCACATTAACATTTGCTATTCATTCGTCTAGAAAGAGGAAATATAAAACGATTTATAGAAATTGGAAAATAAAAAGTATAACTCAGCATAAATGATAAATTCAGTACAGTACCTTAAAAGCCGGTTTTAATTACAAAAACTACAGGTGGACTCCCGTCGAGATTTAAAATTGGTTATAATCATTCACTCCAGGTTAAAAAACACTTTATTTATAAATACTATGTTCCAAAGTTTTATTACACATTTATTTACGTAAGAAAGGAGAAAGTTTTAATGATATCAGGATATTGATATGATTTCGCTATGCGTCATTCAGAAACTGTCATTAACTGTCATATAATGACGTTTTGATAACGTCATTACATGACAGTTAATAAAAAATCTTATCCTCTAAACGAGCAATTCTTGTATATATACAGCATATCGTTACCATCGCGACAATAAATGAACACACATATAGGGGATAACTTTTTAAAGTTGTATTAAACATTTAAATTCTTTAAACATCAATATTTACAGGGTTATTAAATTTTCCAAAACAAAGAATTTTAGAACATCCTTACCTATAAAAGCGTGACATAAAGTTCATTTGTAAAGGTCACAAAGCATATGAATGGGTTGAATGAATTTAAAAGAGACAAAACATACTGTTAGAAGGAGAGGCTTGTAATACGACGCTGTGGCGCGAGTCGTATAGGATGTTACAAATTTTGTTTTTTTTTACTTAATTACTTTGTTTGAAAAATATTTTTTTTTAATTATAGATTTTGTTTAACGTTAATATTTTTTTATGATTATTGGCAAGTAGCGTTAGACGTGTGTTCATTTATTTTCGCGATGGTAACGACACGCTGTATATATATAATCGGAATCTCGGAAACGGCTGCAGCGATTTTCATGAAATTTAGTATGTGCGTAGATTCGGGGGCGAAAAATCGATCTGACTAGGTTTCATTTTTAGAAAATGTCGTTTTATCCCAGTTTTTAGGGAATAAAAAATATTATTCAAATACGACGGTAAATTTCACCGAAAAAAAATGTTATAATAGCTCGGTCGGTAATCGGGCAGCCGCTAACAAACAGCTACGAAACAGAAGGCCGTGGTTCGTATCACGATCATTTACACATTTTTTTTTTACTTTTTTTTCGACTCTAGATCATTGCTTTCCTTATCTTTTATTTTTTGTCGATTTGTTATTTTGTTATTTTTTCCCTTTTTTTAAAGTTCTTTCTTTTGTGAAAAACACCAGTTCATATTTTCTTATTATTACGTCGGTAAGATCGAAACATATTATGCATATTTCATTACTTAGTAATTTGTATCTAAATGTAATTTCCAAAATACACGATTTACCAAAAAAAAAACAAACGGAGCAAAGCTTGGTCCTCCAGGTACTGTTATTAAATAGAGGAAAAATGTTCCTTACTTCAACGCGATATCGTCAATTTTGTGTGAAGAACCGTTGTTATTTACACTATTATAAACGATTTTTGAATAAAAAAAATGCTATATAAAGGTGAAGCAGCAATCTATCTGTAGTAACCGTTAATTATTTATACAAACGGCCTAATTTATGTAATGGAGAGTAAACAATAATTAAGTCTTCGTTGCTGTTCGCTTCCAAGGCTGCCGCATGTCTTGCGATGTTCCTCCATTGGAGGTGGCTGTTAGCAATGCGGGCACATTGTACTGTGGTGGCTAAAATTATATTTAATTTAATATATGATTAGATAAAAGTACTAGGTAGTAGGTTATGTGAAAAGTTGCCAAGCGAGCAGGCGGTTCACCTGATGTTAAGTGAATACCGCCGCGCATGAACTTCTGCTTCTCCCGAGGATGGACAACCTTTTGAAAATTGGGCTCTGGCTACCTCAGTTACAGACGAAACGCGAAAGTATTACATTTCCACTTCACGCCGGTCTTCTGTGAGGTCGTGGTACCTACCTGGACGTGCCTGCCCATTCGTGCAACAGCCAAGGCGGCTGCATGGCCCTACTACAGTTAATGCTACTATTTGACTATGAAGCATACCTAATCTAATTTTTTGCTTAATTAATACAGATTAATTAAGCTTACTATAGCCGCATAATGCACCAAAAAAACTGCTTGTTGTTATCAGATTTTGACAGATATGCAAACACGTTCTTAACAGGGGTCGCAGAGATGCATGTTATGATGATGACGTTATTCTCCTGTCTTCCGACGAAGCGTCAAGGCCAAGCAAAGTAGATTAATACAAAAATACACTGAAACATTTTTGTTTTAAGCAAGCAATAAGTATTTATACCATTTGCTTTTATTATACTAAAGATAATTATGTCTTAATGAATAAAACAATTTGTTTTTAATAATGTAATATTTATTAATCATATCATTGTAACACAATATCTCTATCGTATTTTAAATAGACAATTGGTCTACATAATTGCATTTATGAAATACATTTTTAATTGTTGAACAGCGTAAAATGACATGTTCATAATGGGTATAGTAATAAAATCTTCATTTGGAAGTACTAAAAATACTAAAAATATATTTTACTTTTAAAGAAGAAAGAAGTACTAAAGTATATTTTACTTTTAAAATATATAAAGAAATGGTTCAATTTCTAATCGCCCCTCCATTAAAATATTTTTTTTTATTATTTTTAGCAAAAAAAGCAGTTTAATAAAATGTTTATTATATAGGCGTTGTCAAGTATTTATAAAATGTTAATTACAAACTAATTCCAGTATAACACTGCTATGCTCGCAGCACGGTTGACATTATTATGTATAAGTCAGTCGATTAAACAACAGACAGTGTCATGTAAAATACATACTCCAAAAAAAGCATACTCCACCCTCATTGGACGAAACATGCAGTAACTGAAAATGTTAGCAAAGTGAACGAGACAATTTATAAGAAGTCTTTCAAGTGATATTTAAACATAAATATAAAATATTCATCAATTTTATTTAAAATAATGGCAACGAAAAGGTTTCTTTGCGGTAAAATATTTTTAATTACGTCAAGATAACAAATTTATATCAACTTCAGATGATTAGATACCTGCGATTAAATTATATTGGTTTTAATAAGTATTGTATATAGACTACTAACGTTTATGTGGACCATAGATATTATTTTCATAATAAATCTTTAGAGAATATATTGACACTGCTTTGGTTAACTCTTATACATTAAATTAACATTTTTTTCTTTTGGCTTATTTATATACAGTAATAAATAGTTTTACTAAATTACCTATATCTCCTTAATATAGTAAGTGCATTTTGCATGGATAACGTGTGTTTCAAATAAGAATAGGAACGTCAATGAACTCGAATGACCAATGTCAACTGTCATTTGAAAAGTACGGCTGGCAAAGAAAACAAATTTTTCACTTTTAAAAACTTTTTAATTTTTTTATATCGAATGTATAAATGTATTACCAAATCTTTTCAAGCATAATTAGTTTTGATGATAATGTTGAAATAAATACCGGCAAAAACAATATTTCAAGAAGACGATAACTTGTTTTATACTCAGGTACGTAGGCTAAAATGACATACTTGTTCTATTATTTTGTAAACTAATCGTTTTAAAAAAAAAGCAACTGTTGAATTTCTTGCCGGTTTCTTCTCAACAGAAACTGCTTTCCGAACCGGTGGTAACTTACAAACGTACTAATTATTACGTAAAATTTTTGACATTTCATAAGAACGCGCAAGCGTCTATGTGAATAAAATTTTTGATTTTGATTTTTGATTTTTATTTTAAACAAGTAATAAAATGCCTATTTTTCTTTTTAACTATATGCCTTTTTTTCGTTAATTGGAAAAATCAAATCGGAGATGACGATCTGAGAAAATCGTCCTCGATTTTATGGGGTGATTAAGGTGTGTGATGAAGAAGTTTTTTTTATTGGGTGACTATGGTGGAGTCAGTTCAGCCTTGGAATCAAAAGATGAAGAAAGAGTTTTGTCATCGCTATCTCCTAGTAAAATTCAATATACATCTGCAGAAAGACTTGAGTCGAATGAATTGGTCGGAGAATCAGCGGTGCCACATGAGCAATCTCAACCTACAGAATGACTCTCTCTCTCTCTCATTGATATAGTTTTGCTCAACTATCAAGCAAATACCGTTCGTTCGAGAGTCAACAAAACTGTTCATAGAACCATAGACTGGTCATGATCATCGAGTGCACAAACTGAACGCTGAACGTATCAAAAGCTCTAAACGTACGTATTTCAAGATGGAAAAAGTTGTAGAAGTTGAAGAATTCAAAACATTAATATACTTCATGAAAGTTCTTTCCTGAATTTTCTCTTGATTTTTGTCTATCCACCCGCCCGTTCGTTTTTTGGTGTTAAATAACAGTCGGTGGAATGTTTTAAATGCCTACATAAAATACATTTTTATAAGGGAAAGTAGGAATGTGTGATGAATACTTAGGCAGTGATGCAGAAATAAGCGGAGTTGAAGAGCTGGCCTCCAATTCAAACGTTTTCCGGCATGCTTTATTTATTTTTTTAAAAATATTATTTCAAAAATGTCTGTTTTGCTCATCCTACCTGTTTAAATTTGACAGATGCTACGTCACAAGATTAGTCCTATTCCTCAATGAGTCCGCGAAGTCAGTCCTATTCTTATTTGAATGGCATTGTAAAAAAAAAAAAGTAAAGTAACAGCCTATACATGTCCCACTGCTGGGCAAAGGCCTCCTCTGTACAGAGGGTATCAGGGCATAGTCCACCACGCGGCCGCACTGCGATCTTCGAAAAATATTTTTTTTGTTAATATTTCGAAAATATGCAGGTTTCCTCACGATGTTTTCCTTCACCGCGGAGCACGTGATAAGTCAGCACTTAAAGTTAAAAACTTCATTGGTGCCGGCACCGGGGATCGAACTCAGGTTGCTCGAGTATATTGAATTAAGGCGAGCGCCCGGACACTGAGCTATCACGGCTCTTAATCGCATTGTAAGTCCTCATTATTTATACTTATTAGGCAGTTGTTTCGTGCGTTAGATTTTATTAAACATTGTAATAAGTTAGGAGATTAGAAGGTTGGCATTTTATTTTTCGTAAGTTAAAAACCAAGGAAAAACAAATGGTCTTTGGCCAGTTACAATTTTGTATCTACTTAATTGTAAGCTTTGGCTTATCCGCTTAAAATTACTTATATTTAATAATAATAGTACTACTTATAATACTTTTATTATTAAATATACAAAATATTCATAAAAATATCTTATCTAGTTTACGTTTCATTTTCCCAAAAACAAAAGATGTTAATCATTATTTTATTTATAATTACATTAAAGAAAAAAACGTAACGAATCATCTGAAAAAATATTCATATTTTACACCCGACATAATCTATACGGATCTAAAATTGCGATCCAAAATTAATTTAAAAAGTATAACAATAAACTAGCAGAACTTCTACAAAAGTGCTGCCCTCTAAATTGCTTTTGTTAAATATGCGAGCTCAACTCCGGATCTGGGGCGTCGACTGCGTATCCGCACTTTTGCAAGGCGAGCTTTATCTCCTTGAAGACCGTGGCATCCTCAACGGTCGCTGGGAGCTTGACCAGCTGGGACCTGGCCAGCTTCGCTATGGCGCCTCGAAGTGCCTTCCCGGACCTGGTGCGAGGCAGCGCTGGCACCGCGACCGCCTTCCTGAACGCCGCTATAGGCCCTATCAGGTGGCGGACTAGCGATATCAGCTCTTGCGTCACGGTGCTCTCGGCTACCATTTCCTCGTCTGCCGGACCAAATACATCACGACAATGTTAATACTGTTTTCCGATTTTCACGATCCCTCAACATCCCTTTCGACTCGTCAACATACGATAGATGAAGATTATAACAATGCAACAGAAGAAATTATTAAATACATATATCCATATTAAAACTTAACAGCCAATTCGTGGTGCATGTCAAAGGTCCCGCTCTGTTCAGAGGATGCTAGGGCAAAGTCAACCACGCGATCCCACTGCCGACTGATATCCTCTGTATAGAGGCCTTTGCCCAGCAATGGGGCATGTATCGGCTGCTACTTTCACATCACTGGATGGCAGCGCGACCTACCGTCCTGCGGCGGCCGCATGACGTAGAGGCAGAGCGGCACGTCCCCCTTGGTGGGGTCCGGCGCGCCCACCACCACCGCGTCGGCCACGCGCGCGTGCCTCAGCACCACGTCCTCCAGCGCGGCGGTGGAGAGCCGGTGGCCGGCGACGTTGATCACGTCGTCCGCGCGCGCCACCACCCACACCGCGCCCTCCGAGCTCAGCCAGCCCACGTCCTGCGTGTCGTAGAAGCCCTGCAACGGTTAAACGTTCAATCTCTGTGACAAATTCAAATGTATTTTTTCGATATACGAGTAGAAGCGTTATACTTACTTACCGATTGTCAAAAACACTACCTACTACCGGCTCCGAAAGAAACTCGGCGAGAATTTCTTTTAACATAATTTGACAAAAAAATATAAAACATGTTCACAATATATCAAATTCCACATGAATCACCCTGTAGCCATTAAATTATTTCAAGAGTATGTTATCATTTTAATAATCCCTAATACTACAATAAGCCGTTACCTAACACGATTTTCAATTTATCAACTGATTAGATTTTCGTTTTCTGGGATTTTATTGTAAAAACGTATACATGGTCCCGTAAAAGATTTACTTACTCTACGCAATCAGGATGAGGGTAGAATTAATTTTTGTTTCTTTGTCGTGACTTTTATTTTTTAAATTAAAAATAAATCAGGTTTGAATGCGAATAGAAACTCTCAAAATATATGCGGACCTCGACAATGTTACTAGTTCGAAGCGATGAGAATTTTGGTGAGATGCGTAAGGTCATTAAATGTTATTCGTTGGCTGGAAGTGGTGAGAAACACACTTTATTGCTGATTGTGTACTGAATGTGTATAAACATTGTGTACTGAACCTTTGTATAAAGTTATGTGAGATGCTTAAAGTCATCCAATGTTATTCGTTGGCTGGGAGTGGTGGGAACAACTTATTGTTGCTGATGTACCAACTTTGTTTTCTGAGCTCTTTGTATAAAAATTTTGTTGAGACGCTATAAAGCATAAAGCCAATTTGGCAGCTTAAATTGTTAATAAATTTGACAATTGACAAAAACTATCGATAGTACACTTTTTTAACATACGAATTATTATATTATAAAGATTAAAGTCCGTTCTTAGAAGGAAGTTAAACCAGGCAAGTCGACACTTACCGGATAAGATTCGAAGTAAACCTTTTTGAAACGTTCGTCGGCCTCCCACAGAGTGGAGGCAAAGCCGGGAGGCAGCGGCAGTTTCAGCACTAGCCTGCCTACTTCACCAGACTGACATTCAACTCCGTCCTCCCTCAACGCTCTCACTGTAAAAGTAACATTTCAACCACTGATAATAAAATAAAATTAAACCAGATTCATCCGTGACTACTACTATAATCGCGTAGTCTTTTAGGATTCCGAATCCAAAGGGTAAAACGAGACCGTATTACTAAGACTCCGCTGTCTGCCTGTTAGTCTGTCACCAGGCTATATCTCATGAACCGTGATAGTTAGTTAGTGCTTAGAAATTAATGAATTGAAGAAGTGCCAACTTTTATATATTAACAACAGTCACTCACCCCCATGACCTGGTACGGGATGCTTACAACGGAAGCGATTGAACAATGGCAATTTTATGTTTTAACTAGCTGCTGCCCGTGACTACGTCTGCGTAGAAAAGGCTGAAGGCGTACCATTCAGACAGAAAGACAGATATACATAAAAATATGTATATAAATTATAGCCTGTATTATTCTGAAAGCTATATTATTGTAAACTTTCATTAAACCCCAATCAGTAGTATATTTGTGTGAAAGTGTAACAAACATCCACCCATAGTTACAAACTTTCGCCTTTATAATATTAGTAAGGATAGTAAGGATTAACATTCGCTTACCGTCATAACCTGGTACGGGATACCCCGCAGAATGCGGAGGCACGGATTTGATCCCGTAGCCTAGACATGCAGCGGTGACCGGGGAGCCCGTCTCCGTCTGCCACCAATGATTCAGTACCGGCACATTCAGGACTTTCTCCGCCCAGTTCTGTTGACAATGAGGAGTTGATTACTATTCTCGGGCAGTACATAAGATCTCACGTGTACCGTTACAGCATACTGGTGGACTTGAATGGCATCTGATGTAACATTTTTTTTATTTCTAAAAGGCCTAACAATTGTTCACACTATATGTTAACAATTAAAATGAAAAAATAGGTACATGTATATGGGTAACAAAACTTAAAGATACACACCAAGTACAGTTACAACATCATAACAATAATAGAAATTAAAACTATAAATAATGAAATAGTAAAATAATAAATAAAAAATGTGACTTAAAAAAAACTAAGCTATTTTGTTTAAAACATTACCGTAAGATGACATTATCCTGTGTTGTAAGGACGTTTTGCATACACAAATTTCACGTGGACAAACACCCAGATCCGAAACGACTATCTGTGGGTCACACAAATAGATGTCACGCAAGGGGATTGAACCCACGACCCGCGAAGTCACGGCCAATTCCTTCGCAACTGCACCACGGAATCAATACTCTCAAGTCGTCATCTTTACACAATTGGTTCTACAACACTTATTTCTTTTTCGATCCCCGGTGAGACCCTGTCTTTTGGGGGTACGTCTAAGCTATATGCTATATGGTGCAATCAAGTCCCCGGTGCGTGGACAGGTGTGTCAAAATCTCCAACAGGACTGTGCACTGTATAGACGCCATCTCTAGCCAATGAGAAAGAAAAAAGAAGAAGAAAGAAATAAATGTTTATTTGGTACTCTTAACAACACAAAAAAAATTGTAAAATGCATGACGTGGTTTTTTGCACAAACTGTTAAATAAATCAATAAATTGCCCCATGCTCTTCAAAACATTACACTAGCTTGTAAAAAAACTATAAACAACAATAAAGAAATTTCCACGCAAACCGATTACAAAAATCTTTCATACACCGACCGTAAAAATTAATCTTGGCCTTAATTCACCTTTTGTTAGAATGTGCAAAGAGCTTAATACACTTGTTAACATATTGTTTTTTTTTTCTGAATATATCGACATTTTTAACGATTCCCCTTATGTTTACAAAAAGAAAGTACAGGAGTCATTTCATTAGTATATTATAATATTCTTTCAAATTAATTAATTTTTTAATTGATATTTGTTTCTTTCGTTTTTATTGTTAGTCTATTCTTTGTATTAATTAGTAAGTACTATTATGAATTAGTTCGTTTTTTTATTTATTTATTTTTTAGTTAGTCACAATATTGTAAATGTTGTACACACCTGTTATAGGTGTACATATTAGGTCCAATGGTTTTTTTTAGTTAGTTTCAACTAAATCAATATCGGCAAGAACAATAAAATATTTGAAGGTCACGTGATCTTCAAATATTTTTTTTTAAATATTCGTTCAACGAAACGGTAATGACAAAGGCGGGTTCACAAGTAGCGTATGCAAATAATATCGTACGCCTCCAGTGAACTATTGGCCGGGGCACCTTTTGTTTCAACGACCGGCTACGGTCGATTTAAATTAAATAATACCGTTGCCCCGGAAATAATTGGTTGTCAAAATAACGCCATTCCATTGACAGTTTAACTGTGAACAAAGATTAATCGTTTGCTTTTAAGGGGGTAAGAGCCGTGATATCAATCAATCAATCAAAAATCTTTATTCAAATAGACGCTTGCGCGTTCTTATGAATCGTCAAATTTTACATAAAACATTATACATAGAGGTTCATAAGGTACCACCGGTAAAGCAGTTTCTGTTGAGAAGAGACCGGCAAGAAACTCAACAGTTGCTCTTTTTCAAAGATATCAGTTTACAATATAAAATACCGGTAAAATAGTCTTATTCTACCCTACGTAAGTATCAACAGTATTAACTCCACACATTGGCGTCTTCGAAATATTCCGCAATAGTGTAATAATCTTTAACCATAAGTTGACTTTTGATTTTACGTTTAAATTGATCAAGCGGCAGACTTAATATCCACTTTGGGATTTTATTATACATGCGCACACCTTGCCCCATGAACGACCTATTTACTTTTTGTAGGCGAAACAATGGCGTAGTAAGTTTGTCCTTATTTCTAGTGTTTAATTTATGTCTGTCACTATTCTTTAGGTAAAAATTAAGGTTATGACGAATATACAAAACATTAAAATAAATGTATTGAGAAGCAACGAAAAAAGGATAGCTCAGTGTCCGGGCGCTCGCATTTAATTTAATATACCCGAGCAACCTGAGTCCGATCCCCGGTGCCGGCACCGATGAAACTGGTAATTTTCAGTGCTGACTTATCATGTTGTCAGTGGTGAAGGAAAACATCGTGGGGAAACCGAAAATCGAAATAACAACGAAAAAAATTTTTTTTGGGCTGGATGAGCCACTGTTGGCCTTAGGGGCCTTCACAGTTCCGACGGACTTGGGGTGGCCTGGCGCACGGGGCGCCTTGCCTGAACTTCGGCGTTATGGTCACTAAGCTCGAGGGCTCCCGAGGGAGTCTCGGCTCGGGCTGTCACGCTATTAGTTTCACCGGTTTGGGTGGCCGCCAAGCTCTTAGGGCGCTTTGGCGGGCGCTCCATGGAGTGATCAGGCTCAAGGGTCCCCGAGAGGGGACCTCGACTTGGGCTGTCACTCGCGCGTTTAGCATTCCGATCCGAGGGTGCCTGAGAGGGCCGGAACTTGGCTCGATCGGTACCTATTATCTGACTGGTAACAACAAAAAAAAATCTCGAAGATATGTGATGTCCGCCAATCCGCAGTGGAGCCGCGTGATGTCCTGATATCTCTGTGCAGAGGAGGCCTTTGCCCAGCAGTGGGACATTTATAGGCTATTCCTTTACTTTTTAAGGGGATAGATAACGATCACTTCATTTAACGCATTGACTTTCATTTGACCCGTACGTGCAACAGTAGGCGCTGTGTGTCAATGTACGTCAGTACGCTGAAGACCGTGAAAGATAACTACTGCGCCTCTCGTGTATTTACAAAACGTTTCTACATTTCACTTTCCAAGTTATAAGCTTTTCACTTTCTAAATTAAACTCTTTTTAAAGACATAAGCGTTTACCGCCTTCAAGAAATCTTTTTAATGAAATAGAATTCAAAAATAATGGATTTATAATTTTGCATTGGGATATGAAATTGGACAAGTTTAATTTTCAAAACAATTCTTTGTCATCCTTGTTTCTATACGTCATCAGAATAATTTAGGCTACTCTACTTTCCTAAAGTTGAGTTCTTTCTATTGTTTTTGATAAATTTATAATTAAAACAAAACTTCAATATTCTATGCATTTTGTTATATTGACATTAATTTCTGCTTACTACAAATCGTTAATTTGCAATTCAAAGGATTTGAACTGAATTAGCAACTACGACGCGCATTATAAAATAAATTAAAAGTTCAGTATAATGCCAGAAAAATAATTGTGTATTAAGATAATGTCCATTGTTTTATTATTTGAGTTCATATATTTATTAAATATTGTAATTGGTTCGAAAGTCCAAATTCGAATATAATTAATTATTGAAAACTACTTCTATGAAACTAGCGAATGCATTGTTACAGAACTCAGTCCGATTACTAATTAATATTATACTAGTTAAGAAATTATTTAATGATGAGTAAGACCTCTTTGATAGAGTTTCGAATGTCGCCTGTCAATGATCTATCTATATATAAACATCTAGTACCTGGAGGACCGAGATTTGCTCGGTTTTTTTTTTGGTAAATCATGTATTTTGGAAGTAAAAAAAATAAAAAATAAAGAAAGCAAGATCTGGTATAGAAAAAAAGTAAAAAAAAATAAGTGTGTAAATGATCGTGATACGAAGCGCGGCCGTATGTTTTGGGGCCGCCTGATTACCGACGGGGCTATTATAACATTTTTTTTGGGGCGAAATTTACCGTCATATTCGAATGACATTTTTCATTCCCTGAAAACAGGAATAAAAGGACATTTTCTAAAAATGAAACCTAGCTAGATCGAATTTTCGCCCCCGAATCTACGCACATACTAAATTTCATGAAAATCGCTGGAGCCGTTTCCGAGATTCAATTTAGATTAAAGGATAAGATATACTAATACGTGAAGGAAAAACGTTGTACCCTTTTTACGAAAATTGCGCGGACGGAGGAGTATTTCCCACACTTATAGTTTATATAGAAAAGGATTTTTTTTTAAATTATGCATAAAATAATACATTAAATCAATGAAAAAAAAAACACTACGCACACTACCATGTATAATAAATTTTGGGCGAATTTCGACCACTGCGCAAACACTTGTTTATGTAAGTAGTTAAAGTAAAGTAACAGTACTGGCCAATGGACTCCTCTGTTCAGAGCGTTTTAGGCCATAGCTCATCACGTGGCCCCACTGCGGATTGGCGTACTCCACACATTTTCAAAACATGTTTTTGTTATTATTTCGAAAATATACAGGCTTCCTCACGATTTTTTTCTTCGCCGCCGAGCACGTGATAATTCAGCACTTAAAATTAAGAATCCCAGCGGTGCCATCACCGGGGATCGAACACGGGTTGCTCGAGAATATTGAATAGAAAGCGAGTTAATGAGCTATCAATGCTCAGAATTTATGTTTGTATCATAATTTATTTTTGATTTTGAATCGGCTAATTTCAGTCTGATGACGCATGTCCATACTGCGCGGCGTTTAAAAATTGTTGCGCTTTACATTATATGACGTACATAAGTGAATGTGTCAGATCGTATAGAACGCATAATACGGAAAGAGATAGCGGTCTATAGAGTTGCAGTTTAATTACATCAATCTTATATAGACATAGAGTTGCAGTCTAAGACTGGTGTCATCTATCTCTATCTTTTCTTATTCTTCTATAATTGGGCTATATATTTTTTTGTTATTATTTCGAAAATATGCAGGTTTCCTCACGATGTTTTCCTTCACCGCGGAGCAGGTGCAGATAAGTCAGCACTTAAAGTTAAAAACTTCATTGGTGCCGGCACCGGGGATCGAACTCAGGTTGCTCGAGTATATTGAACTAAAGGCGAGCTCCCGGACACTGAGCTATCACGGCTCTTACATTTACCAGCGTAAAGTGGAAGTATAATACTTTCGCGTTTCGTTTGGTAAGTGAGGTGGCCGGAGCCCAATTTTCAAAGGGTTGTCAACGCATCTGCAACCCTCGGGTGTAGCAGATGTCCATGGGCGGCGGTATTCACTTAACATCAGGTGAACCGTCTGCTTGCTTGGCAACATTTCACACATAAAAAATACGTGGTGATAATGGGGGCTTCTCACCCTCGTGTCCTGGTCGCAGTGCTCGCCTGCGATGAACGCCGTACGCAGGCTCTTGCTGCAGTAGCGGCGCGAGTACTTAGCGTTGGGGTCGGTTCGCTTCAGCACTCGAAACGCAGTCGGGATCGTGAACAGCGCGTTCACGCGGTGCTGCTCGATGATTCTAGGGATATGAATGAATGAATGAATGAATGAATATTCATTATTGTACACACCGTAGTAAAAATACATTAGAAATAACAATTACGTAAGTGTTGTACAATGGGCGGCCTTATCACTTAAAGTAAGTTCTACTAGGCAAATATCAACGTTTTTTTTTATGTGAAAAGTTGCCAAACGAGCATAACATATCCGAATGTAAAACGGCAGTCATGAAAGACCCGATCCCTTCCATCGATATTCCTATTATTGGGGATTCCCTTCCAATAATCTTGAAGTATTGTGTCAAACACAAGTCACATTCTGTTTAATATTCTAATTATATCGACTAAGGCATGCAAGGAAGAAGGAAAGCCATAGTCTGCTTTTTCCCTTCTTGGTGTTCAATGTGGTTGCGTATTCATTTCGAGAACAAATCTCGCCACCTGAAGTACTGTCCAGGGTCGGGAGTTCTGTCCGGCTTGCCCTCGTACAGGACGGACGTGAGGCCGGCGAGCAGAGGCCCGTAGCAGATGTACGAGTGGCCCACGACCCAGCCGAGGTCCGACGCCGCCCACCACACCCCCTTGCGGAGGCCGTACACCGCGTGCATGGACCAGCACAGCGTGGCGGCGTGGCCACAGGGGCGCTGGACCCCTTTCGGGTCTGCCGTTGTGCCTGCACATCAAATGCAGGTTAAGCTCCGTCCTGTTTTTTGGGGTACCGTACCCAAGGAGTGTAACGGGCGCCTGTTTCTAAGACCCCGCTGTCCCTCTGTCTGTCACCAGGCTGTATCTCATGAACAGTAATAGTTGGACAGTTGAAATTTTCACAGATACTATATTTCTGTTGCCGCTTTAACAATAAATACTAAATTTTTTTTATTAATTATTATAAAAATTTATTGAAAAAATTACCTATATTTTTGTGTTGTATGACTGTTGGTGCTAATATCTTAACTTTTAATAATTTACTCTTGTTCCTAATGTCCAAAGCTATTAGGTCTATTTTGTTGCCGCTTATTGTATACCAGTTTTGTACCCACTTTTCTGTGTTAGGCGTATGGAGGTACTAATATCTTAACCTTTCAGATCGAGTTCAAAAACTTAAATATATCAATTTTCATTCTTATCGTAGTCTATTTTCTGTAAAGTTTTAATTGTTTCATCCCATATTTCTAAGTGTACGCAAATTGTTATTTTAATGTTAGACCGCGTCAAAGAAAAAAGTATGACCTGTTGTGTATGGTTTAGACCAAATTTAAAAAAATGAAATAAATCACTTTTCATTCTTATCGCAGTCTATTTTCTGTAAAGTTTTAATTGTTTTATGCCATATTTCTAAGTACAAGCAAATTGTTAGTCATTTTAATGACAATACCAATTTGCTTAGGCCGCTTCAAAGAAAAAAGGGTGACCTGATGTGTACAAGATGTACAGAGGTTCGTTAGCCTCGACGGGGACGCAGGGCACTGGGTCTGCTAGTAACGCTTCCTGCCAACAGATGTCGCGTTCCGCCTCCAGCTTGCATTCCAGCACACGGCGCCGCTGGAATATGATGCAACTGCGTGGCTGGTGCGAGCTTTGGCACAGCGCTTCGTCGAGGATATCTTTGTATCTGTGACATGGAGAGTGGAACAGAGTTTGATCCCTACCCGCTGCCTTTACCAAAGTAAAGAATTTTATTGTTACGGTACCAAAAGGCATGTTACGACTCTCGTTTAGTACTTAGAACAGCACCGGAGCGGTATTAGAGCGTCTAAAGTATGCAAACAGCGAAAAAGGAATCTATCAATCTGATCTGGCAAATGCCTTAAACCAGGCATTTTTGTTTCAGAGCCTTCAAATATTTAGAAGGCTTGAACAAACATCTTTGAAAAAGAACACACAGAGTTTACAAAATCATTATGATGGAATGGACTTATATTTTATTATGCAAGAGGAAAAAACTAGCTGTTAGCTAAGCCCATGTCAATTGAGCTCAGCAGATGTCACATGTATTATATACAAGTCGTATAATAATTGGCATTTACACCAGTGGTGCTAATACATTCTAAATCCTTGGTAAGAATCGTCATTTTCGTAGGCGAGGGCTTCTTTTCTCTTTACTATCATTACTTTAGAATTATTACTCTCAAGGTGAGAGACCTTTCTTCTCTTTTTTAGTTAAGACCTAGGCTCTTGTCAGTGCAGCATCACACCATCATCACCACCCTATTGTTCACCATTCTCTGTTCAAAGTTGTTTCGTTTACCACATTTATCATCTTCTTAGTGAAATTCAGCTTAATCTTCTCTACCCCGCTTTCTTTCTATCTTTTCTTCAATGATGAATTTATCTTTTCTTATTAGGTGGCCTGTGGTGGTGGTGTGGATCATCTTTCCTACGCGGTTTTCTATTAAATCCATCAGACATCTCTTCTCAATTATTCATTGTAAAACCTTCTCGCTTATCACCATCTTCAACCAACTTATTCCGTATTAGGTATGTACCGGTAATTTTTGTTTTACATACCTTACAATTTTGTTAGGTTCCACTCCACAGCTGGCGGCAATGATAACAGTAGGTTCCGCGTGCTCGATTCTAGTTCCGAGCTCTCTGGCCGCAAAACCTGAATGTTATTATTTTTTATTTAACATTATTATTATTTATTTTCTCATATGTACATTAACATAAAATGTATTAAAAGCGTGCGAAATTAAACGATTACTTTACGTACCATTACTTTCTGAGGCTAATTAATATCTATCGTTTGCTGTATGTAGATTGCTATTATAATATAATATAATTATATATATCTCAAGATATTATAAAAATCTATTGCTAGCCAACGATAACTCGATACGGATGATCAGATTTTATATGGAGTTCTTGCGACGAGCCTTTTGAAAAGTAAATGTCCCATGACTGATGATTTACAATTAGGCAATTATGTTGCCCTTCAGAACCGAACACGAGGTAAACCGACACAAAATATTTTATTACAGACTACACTTTTCATTAAAAAAACTGTACTAATTATATCTATGGTTTTTAATACATATCTTAATTGATGCGACCATCAAAATTTGGGTCAAGTGATCTTGTAAACTCTCTCTGCAAGGCTTTTGAATAAATTAAAAAAAGATCTCATTTATTAAACTTAAAGAGTTTCGTCTGCTTTCTTAGAGAGCTTGTTCCCTCACCGCCAAAAACGACTGAGTGGATGGCACCAATTCTGTTAGTTGCAAGCATGGCAACTACAGCTTCTGGGATCAGTGGCATGTAGATGAGCACCCGGCAACCTTTGCTCACCCCCAGTTCCAACAGCTTCCCTGCTAGTCTTGATACCTGTTAAGGCATGTAGTTGAACTTAACTAATAAAGTTTGGTGTAAATGTAATAACGCAAAAATTTACTGATTCATTTCAAAATAAAATGCAAAATACCGATAACTTATCTCATAAGTGTAAGATAAGGATCCAAGCCGGAACAGTAGGTTTTTCATTTCCTAGGATTTGAAAAATAATAATAGACAAAAGTTGATGATACTCTTATGGAAATGTCGGCGTTTACCAGCCCGCATCATCTGATGGTATCTGTTTCTAGCTTCCTTAAAATCAGGAATATTTATCTTATATTTTATGAAAGCTAGGTTATAGCTAGCCATTGCCATCCTTACAACTTCAGTCATCCACGGGGCAGATGATCGCTACAGTCTTATTTTGTGCACTGGAGTGCGAGTATCATATAAACACAGACCAGAGGAGTTTAGCCAGTGGCTTTTGTTTACCGAACCGGTACTAGTAGAATTTCGACAATCAATAATAAAGTGTAATTCTTCTATATTGAATAAAGATATTTGAATTTGCATTCGACTTAGGATGTATTTATAGTTTAAAGGAAGCATATTATTATTTATTATTACTCAATCGTGGCAAGAAAACTCCAATGCAGGCATATGATCGGCGTTTCTACGCAATCGAGAGAAGCAGTGATGATAAGATCAATCAGAGTCATCGGTACCAATATTGTGATGCCTAATTGCCTTTAATGGAAGAATAGTGAGATTGACTGACTTCAGAGTTGTACGAAGTTTAATGAACGCTGTGAGGTTTATATCAAATCGGTATTAAAATCAAACATGATTATGGAGTGTGTGTCCTCAGAATTAATACTGTCAGTCAACAGGCGGCGGAGGCGGTGTTATATATATATATATATATATATATATATAACCTTGACATGTAATTAAACAAACAAGTATTCTAAGGAGGCAGATTAATGGGTTAAAATAATATAAATATCCCGCGGATCATTTTGAAGCATAAACCCTGGTGATGGGAATAGACCCTATTGCAAAGATGATTTTTACGAGATTAGGTTAGCTAGGGTCATGAAAACTGGGTATCTATAATTTCACTCCTGTATTGTGTCAAGCATGAAATGATGCATATACATGTACGTGGGAGCACAATACCTGGTCCAGTAGTTCCGTATAAGTGATGCGGCGAACGGTATCCGTGAGAGGAGAGTCATGCACAAGTGCTATTTTGTCCCCACTACCAGCTTCTACGTGACGATCCACTGCATTGTAACACACGGACATCTCGCCTCCGGGCCACCTTCCACACACAAAAAATGGTTAATTTACACTGTCTGGGTTGCATAAACACCCATATGCAACGGCTATATACTGGTGTAACGCAAAACTAATGACCATTGACTGATGCAGTAGGAGGCATGGTCAGCTCTACCAAACTAGGTCAAAAAATCTCCGTTACTACATAATTAAGTACAAATCAATAATACTAGTTTTAAAAGATTATACTTATATATAACAAAACAACCAACTATTTAGGATAACAATTACATTGAGCTGACGCGATTGTTAGATAGCTTACGGTTATCGCTACTCTTACACTGTTATACTGGGCTAAGGTTATTTTTCCGTCTCTTCTGTTTTGTCGTTTATTCTGTGCCTCATAATCTTTCCGCTTCTGTACTTTTCTCCTTCTAATTCCAAATTGGTTCGTGTGCAGTGGAATAAACATTATATCCATCAAGCCGTGCTACTTATTTACTTGCCACCGCTCACGAGACATTAACCACACACATACGACCAAAATTATTTGAAAAACTGTCATTGGGGTAAAGGTCAATGGACATTTAATGATAAGAAAAGATTTACCATTTGGTGAAAGGTGGATTTGTGTTGTCCAACACCCGGTCCCAAGGCTTGGTCCAAGTCAACTCATGGCCCACCTCCGCCCAAAAGCCTTCGGGATCTTCCAGAGATCTCCGATAGGCCTTCGTATACTCTTCTGTGACTCCACTATCGCCTAAGTAAGAATCATTGAATAATTTTTATCATAACTGCACCAAAGCCCAGAGAATTGTTAGGTTGCCATAGCCATCCTACAAACAGTCCCCGAGTTATTTCGAAATACGGCAAATATTACTAACGTTTTAGTTAGAGGGTCATATAGCAGCTTCTGCAGTTGCACGAATGAGCAGGTGCGTCCAAATAAATACTACGGCCTCACTGAAGATCGGCGTGAAGTGGATAAAAGTATTATACTTCGTTTCGCGTTTCGTTTGGTAAGTGAGGTAACCGAGGTCCACCTCTGGTGTGTTGAAGTGCCTACTCATTTTCCAATGTTTCATTAAAAAAAAAACCATACAATTTTTGTCACTATTTCTCAAAATATTCGCAAGAACTGAATATCGAGGATCTTTTTCTATTTGAAAGAATAGCTAAGGAGCAGAATGAAGCGAAAGCGATGAAATAATTGTAATGACAGAAAACTACCTTTAACCCTTATACAACCTTATACAACCTTTACCAGTCTTTGACAGTTTGGTTCAAATATTAACATTAGTTATAAATTTAAACGTTAACTTTGACAATGTGTCAACGAAAACGAAACAATTGTTAGAAAGCGTAGCAGTTTCATATTGCCATGTATTATTTTTTCAAAGCTTTCCAAAAATTTATAGAAAAAAATCGATATAAAATCACATTAGCTACATTAAATATTCTGTAATAACGAATATTCATTTGTATATGTAATAAGAGTGCAATAAAGATGGCGCATGTTCATACTGTGCGGTGTTTAAAACTTCTTCCGCTTCATATATGACATTACTGTGATTCTGACAGATGATACAGAACGTATGATACGGAATGAGGTATCAGTGTGTAGAGTTGCATTTAACATACGCATAGTTAGAATCGGACCGAATTTTTTTTTAATGTGAAAAGTTGCTAAACGAGCAGACGGTTCACCCGATGTTAAGGAATACCGCCGCCCATGGACATCTGCTACACCCGAGGGTTACAAATGCGTTGACAACCTTTTTAAAAAATTGGGCTGCGGCTACCTCACTTACCAGATGAAACGCGAAAGTATTTGTTATACTTCCACTTTACGACGGTCTTCTGTGAAGTCGTGGTACCTACCCGGACGAGCCCGCCCATCCGTGCAACAGCCGAGGCTGCTGCGTGGCCCTACCGCCGTTATTACCGAATATAATAGAAATTACACCAATTGCCACAATTTGAATACCGTTGTTTCGGCGCAGTAGTGTGTAGTATATCTAACCTCTTATGTGTATAATATAATAATATCATTGCATACATGGATAATGATACTAACTTTGAATAATTAATTATAATTTTACAACATTTTTTTTTATTTCTTCTCTTGACTTAAAAGAAAAACATTTCCCTAAGAATAGGAAGGAAGGTCATGTTTGTCTACATGGACAGACACTAATCTCGCACCGCAACACCCAGATCGGGAACAACTACTTCGTCTCTACTTGTATTTTTATAGCCCAAAATTGAATCAACAAACCGCTGCACCCAAGTAACTTGCATAACTAAGCTCAGACGCTTGTCCAACTCTATTAACCATACTCAGAACCACAGAATAAACTGCGGTTCTGCTGTTGCACTAACGGACGGGCTCGACCGGAGAAGTACCTCGCAATGGTTGTTGTTTTTTCCCTTTCGCCTTTCGTCTGGTTAGCGAAGCTCATTTTTATTTAAGGGTTGGCAACGCATTTCAGAACCCTCTTCTATTGTAGATCGTATCTTCAAATAAAGTGAGAACTACATGGCCAATTATCAATAACTCGAACTTTTATATCGATAAAATTACATTCCAATTTTTTTTTTAATTTGAAACAGTACTTATTTCATTAATTTCTGGAACGATAGTGTTCTCACTGAAGCACAAAAAGGATTTAGAAAAAAAGAGCATCAATATGACTGTATATGATTTTAGAACGTTATTATGACAAACATGAACTTGAAAAATCCGGTTTACGCTATTTATCGGGGTATAATGAATTTAATCATGACGATCACAATATTTTACTATAAAAAGTCTACATGTATATTAGACAAACGGTAAACACCGAACCCTTATTTTCAAAACTAATATTTGGGGAATGCACAATATATTGTTATGAACACACAAAGGAACTAACGCCGTCTAGCGTCAACTATTAAAACCACTAAAGAACAAAGACGACATAAAACCCCCTATTCAACACTAGATGGCGTTAGAGGAACTGCTGTGGAACTATAGTCTCGAAAACCGGGAACATTCGCGAACTTTCCGGAATCACAAACATGTTCGTGCGTGTCGGGTACGTTCCAGGAATGATCTTTCTGGATTAGTCCGGAACCGGTCTCGGCCCATATAAAAAGCCGCAGGGACGCGAGCGATGACAGTTCAGTTTGAGCTACCTTCGAGGCGACTTCGGAGCGAAAACTAGTGATCAAGAGCGATACCAGTGAAACCTACGACTTGGCTACAAAATAGGACATCGTTAGTGCTTAGTGTTTGGACCTAGTGCTTTGTGTTGGACCTAGTGCTTGAATAAAGTCTTCAAAAGAGTCAGCAGGTCTTTCTCTCCAAATCCTTCGAACCCCTAACACGTAACAATATTATAGAGTACCGCAAGGCAGTGTTCTGGAACCATTGTTGTTCATTGCATATTTTTAATTATATAAGTAAAGCAACGTGATCGATCATCGTTAACTCGTTTTGCTGAGGACTTACAGTAGAATTTAAAAACTTGAATTTATATGAATTAAATAAAAAAAATATATGTAATTTAGTTAGATTTAATGTTGTAAGTATTGGAAATAAATAAATTGATGATAATAAATATTTATGAATATTATATTAATATATCAACGAATTGATGGGGTGCGAAACAATATAATTTACATAGGGAAGACAATAATGCGTTATAGTTAGTTCGTTGATATTGAGATGTAAAAAAAAATTAAATATCAATTGAGAAACATATTCAGGAAGCATCAAAATTCATACCCACAAATTTTCTGAATTTACTTATTGATAAAACTGAATTGGCAAGAACATATTAATGAACCAACAGAGAAAAATTTCTGCTTACGCAATTTAAAAGCTATCCCATACATTAATTCTCAGCATGTTATGGCATTGTCCATTAGAAATTGAGATATAGAATAATAAACTTGACTTATTATTAATTAGCACAAGAGAAAAGTATCCGAGGAATATTTAAGAAATAACAAATATTTGACTTTAACGTTCAATACATCTTTGAAATAGACAGGAATCTTTAGAATAGACATTGCCAGTATGTAGAGCCAGAACATCCCTTATGCGTAATCGTGTCTTCTGCATGGCACCAATAATTAATAATTTTATAATAAGAGTTCAAAAAATTCCATACAAAAAGAAATTACGGTTATTACTCGCTGATAAATGTTATTATTATATCTTAATGTCAACTCCGTTTTAAATAATATTACTTTCGATTTCGATTCGAATTTAAAATATCTTTATTCGAATAGACGCGTGCGCGTTCTTATGAAACGTCGAATAATACATTAAAATTAATATATACCGATTCCGAAAGCAGATTCTGTTGAGAAGAATAGGCCAAAATACTCAACAGTTGCCCTTTTTCAAAAATGTCAGTTTACATTATAACATACAGTACTGGTATAATAGGCATTTACACGATGCCATTTTCTTGAACATACAAGAGCAATAATTGTATGCAATAAATTGCGCGCAATAATTGTTTAGACCATTTGTTGTTTAGACCATGCAACTCATTTATTGCTTCAATTTAATTGTATACAACAGGCAAGAAACTGGCATCATGTAAATGGGCCTTTATTACTACGTGAGTATGAACAGTATTAATTCCACACATTGGCGTCGTCGAGATATTCCGCAATGGTATAATATGCTTTAGACGTTATAAGTTTACTTTTAATTTTACATTTAAATTTTCTTCATTCAAACTTTCCAGATTCTTAATTTAAACTTTCCAGAACATATTTTGCTAAGAATTTATGTTATAATAAAATGGGAATCATATGATCTGGTTCGTACATTATTTGTGTATTACGAATCAAAATATGTGAAATGCGTATGTACGCAAATATCGTCATGAAAGATAAACCTTTTCCAAATGAAAAGATGTAATCGATTGTTCGAACAACATTTGTTTTGTTCTAACTTCCTTTCTATAAGGTAAATACTTCATCTTTAACTGCTAATCCATTGGATGCTAATTAGCGATGCAGCCGTAGATAGTATGTAAACAAAGCAATTTTGACGTTCAATAACGGTTTAAATTAATCCTATATTGAATAAAGAAATTTTCACTTTGCTTTGAAATACCATAGGTCAACAAAATAAAAATAAAACGCTATGTTTTTATTTCAATTATTAATGAATTAAGTTATATGCAAATTACCAAACCTGAATTACGATTGGTTTAATTAATTTAGTTTACTTATGACCCTGATCACTTAATTTAGTAAATAAAAAAACAAGTTCTTTAAATTCGAAGGTTATAAGTTCACTGTAAGTTTTGAACTTTATACAGTTAATTGCGCATATTGATATTATATATATATATATATAATATAATATCAATATGCGTTTGGCAAAAAAGCCAAACACATATATATATATATATATATGTGTTTGGCTTTTTTGGGATGCATGTTATGAAGTAAAGTAAAGTAACAGCCTGTACAGAGGCTATCAGGGCATAGTTCACCACTTTCCTTCACCGTCAGCATTTGAAATTAACAATTTCGAGTATACCGAATTAAAGGCGAGCGCCCGGACACTGAGCTTATTCCGCTTAACTTGGCTGGTAAAGCATCTGGGCGCGTACCCGGACGTCGCAGGTTTGAATCCCGTAGTGTCGAGGCTATTTATTAAGCTTCTAGGCTTTCTAGGCGTAAGAAAAAGTTTGATCGGGCGAGGCGTTCGCGTTACGAATAATGTTGGGCGAAGCCAACGGAAGTTGAGAGAGAGATATAAATTAGTGCAGATTACTGTAGGAGCAAGAGAGAGAGAGGTGCACAGGCGTGCACAGGTGAGCGAGCACATTCATTCATTCATTCGTTTCCACCGCGTCGCATTACAAGTCTCTCCTTCTAACAGTATGTTTTATCTCTTTCAAATTCATTCAACCCATTCTTATGCTTTGTGACCTTTACAAATGAACTTGTCTATTATGGAAAATTTAAGAACTTGTAAGTATTGATGTTTAAATAATGTAAATGTTTAATATTATTAAAAAAATATCCTCTATATGTGTGTTGATTTATGCGTTAGTAGCGCCAAGTTGTATATCTCAATCCGTTTGCGAGTTTGCTAGCGTTACGCGAACCGTGATTTCTTGATTATTAATTTATGAATGAAAAACCAATAATAAATTAAAATATTTGTAGAAAATTAATATATGTATATGTACATATTATACATATGTATACATACATATAGATGGAGCTAGTCGTTTTCTTTATTAATACAACCGCTGCCCATTGACATTTGCAACAACCTTAGTGCAGACACGTTGCCACCATATAATAAAGTGGGCCCCGGCTACCTCGCTCACCAGAGGAAACGCAGAAGTATTACACTTCCACTTGACCCCGGTCTTCTGTGAGGTCGTGGTACTTCCCCGGACTGACGTGCCCATTCGTGCAACGAAGACGTAGCCTTTTATGATGATTGTTTATGGACAGCATGTAACTACTGTTCCCCTATAGTTACACTCAGTTCTCGAATGTGCTTACCATATCGTTCTATATCGGCGGCGGTCACGAACGCTGTCTTCTTCAGCTCACTGATGGACGATTCAAACCTGCTCTTCTCGACCTTGGAAGCGGCTGCCTCGTCTGTCTGATACATGTTGGCACTAAGCCCCGTACTGCACTAGCCACCTGAGGCTCACCGACTGGCGTGAGCCGCGCGCACGACTTACATGTGTCCCTTTCCATTAGCATTCCCGTATATAAATGAGGCACCTATGAACCCGCTGAATAATGAGGCGACCGATATGAAAAGCTTTGACGCATTTCGAACGATTTTTTTGCTCCGGCGACGGTGCACGTCGACCTAATGTTATTCAAATAAGCAATCCTCTAAATCAGATCACGCGATCAACGAACGCTCCTATTCTTGGAGCGTGGGGTCTTTTGTCGCGCTTAGGAAAATCCTGAAGCGTTCCGGAAACTGCCGTCTCTCCTTTCATATGCTAAAGAGGCTGAAGTAGATGGATCTATTACTTATCTTATTTACCGATACGCAGCCGCCTACGCGCTTGCCTTATTTATCTTAAAATTAATTAAGTGAAGTTGGGAATATGAACGATACGACAATTTCTGAAATACGAACAAAGAGTTTCATACCGGATATATTGTCAGAGGTTACCTTTTCAGTTACGTACGCCGATATTTTTGAACATTATGTAATAACATGCGAGGTATGCATCGACATTTTGGAACGATACGCACCGTTATATACCACAGAATTTCAGGATTCAATTATAATAGAAGAATCAATGTCCAATTCATCCCCTTATGAAGAAGAGCATAAAATTTTTTTTATGAGTTTAGAAATTCCGCTCTGTTAAAATTTTCAGGTTTGAGACTACGACTGAAAAAAGTTCATACTTATACTATTATTAAGTAAACGAGCCCTTTGGCTCGTTGGGCAACTGCTTAACCTGGAGCTTTTTTCTTTAAGCGATAAGATGGCAATGAACTGGCGTTGAGTCATCTCGTCAGATGAAGCTTTAATAGTCTCTGGACTGAAAGCACAAACATCAGTAAATACAAGATGAGTCATCTGATATATTGTGATCACCGCTGCCCATGAACATCTGCAACGCCGGAGGTGTGCAAGGCGGGCCAGCCGTTTCTAACACTGGTCTTCTGGAGTCTAATAAAACACAAAATAATAAAAAATATGTTAGTTTTCACACTTGTGAATACTAGCATATTATCTAAATAATAAAAAAATAAAATTCGAAGATGCACGTCTTGATGTTTTTTTTTTATGTGATAAATGGCAAACGAGCTGGCGGTTCACCTGATATCAAGTGATAACCGCCTGCCCATGGACATTTGCAACACATGTGGGTTTCAGATGCGTTGTCACCTCTTAATAATGTGGGCCCCGGCTACACCACTCACCAGACGAAACGCAGAAGTGCAACACTCCTACTTTACGCTGGTCTTCTATTAGGTCGTGGTACTTCACCGGACGGACCTGCCCATTCGTGCAACAGCGAACACTGTTGCCCTACCACCGTAAGTGTTGTCGCATTGGGGTCGCGTAGTTGATTATTAGGTCCACACCCTTTGTACAGCTGAGGCGTTTACATAGGCCGTTACCCAGTTTTTACACTATGATGCATTTCTTTTATATTAACATCTTTTCTGTCTGTTAGTTCTCGGCTTTTTTATATTATTAAAAATAATTAATTAGCCAACACTAAAATTAAACTACCAAATTGAATGTTATAAACAGATTATTGCTTAAAATTAATAAAGAACACTGCGGCGTTTCTGTTTTTATACCTACTTAAATTTGGCATGATTTTACTTGTTGATTTGTTTGTCATGTGATCATGTCGTTTTAACATTAGTACCTGGAGAACCGAGCATTGCTCGGTTTGTTTGTTTTTTTTTTTTTGGTAAATCGTGTATTTTGGAAATTACATTTAGATACAAATTACTGAGTAATGAAATATGCATAATATTTTTCGATCTTACCGACGTAATAATAAGAAAATATGAACTGATGTTTTTCACAAAAGAAAGAACTTTAAAAAAAAGGGAAAAAAATAACAAAATGACAAATCGACAAAAAATTAAAAGTAAAGAAAGCAATGATCTGGAATCAAAAAAAAGTAAAAAATAAATGTGTAAATGATCGTGACGCGAACCACGGCTGTCTGTTTTGGGGCCGCCCGATTACCGACCGAGCTATTATGACATTTTCTCTTGCGGCGAAATTTACCGTCATATTCGAATTATATTTTTCATTCCCTGAAAACAGGGATAAAAGGACATTTTCTAAAAATGAAACCTAGCTAGATCGATTTTTCGCCCTCGAATCTACGCACATACTAAATTTCATGAAAATCGCTGGAGCCGTTTCCGAGATTCCGATTATATATATATATATATATATATATATATATATATATATATATATATATATATATATATATATATATACAAGAATTGCTCGTTTAAAGGATAAGATAAGTACATATATGTAATAAATGAATTTTCATATACAATCATATTTTTTCTTCTTTGCTCCATTTTTTTACTTTTTGCAACAGAAATTCATTATTGTGGCGTTTTCTTTCATATTTATAGTACGGATTTATTGTAAAAACGAATCCCTAATAATCCCTATTTAATATTATAACTGTGAATGTAAGATTGTTTCAAGTTTCAACGCGGGCGGGCCCACGGGCGAAAAGCTAGTACATAATAAAAACTCTTAACCATCAAATTTAATGTACATTTGGTGGTGTAAATTTAATATACAAATTTAATACTTTACTACACGTACTTTAATGAGACTTGTTTCATTTCTAGTTAACGCGTACCATTAAATTCACTCGTTAAACCCAATTATTAACTCGTTTCTAACGCGAAAAATAAAGTTTGTGGCATCTTCGATAAACATGTCATTGTATATTTTATTTATTTTGGCTAGTAAGTCTTATTATAATTTACTAAAGATTATACTTGATTTTATTCTTATTTATAGAAATCTCTTATTTATAGAAGAAACTATCGAGCAAACAGACGGTTCATCTAATGTTACGTGATTACCACCTCCAACTGTAACTTGTATATGGGCACAACTAGAACAACATTGGGGTTACAGATGCACTACAAACCTTTAGAACAGTGGGCCTCTGTTATCTCATTTAATATACGCAACGCCAAAGTACCTTTAATACTTCCACTTAGCACAGGTCTCTGAAGCCGTGGTGCTTCCCAGGACAAGCCTTCCAATTTATGGAACAGCAGCTGTTGCGTGGCTCTACCATCATTTTTTTAATATTGAAACCGATGTCATCAGCAAAATATTAATATATCATCACCATTTAAGCCTGTTCCAGTAAACTCTGAACATAGGCCTGTTAGAATATTAATACACAAAACATTGCGGTAATTTAAAAATTGATACGAAACGCCATCAAAGAATCGTCATTAAATAATTTATATTTAAATAGTAAATTTTTGACAATTGCTTTCACCATTAGACATTTGTAGAATATTCACTAAATAAAAATTTATAACGTAAAAATTCATAAAGTAAAAAATATTTGTAGAATATTAAGAAAATTCATAAAACGATTTTAAGATGTTGTAAAATTATTTGTGTTGAGATCTTTTTATTTTTTTTTTGCCCTTATCCCACCTAGGTGGAGTCAGTTAATATGATTCACTAGTTGCTGCCCGCGACTACGTCTGCGTAGAATAGGTTGAAGATGTAACATTAAGACAGAAAGACATTAAGACAGATATACATAAAATATGTATATAAATTATAGTCTATGTCTTATTCTGATGTATAAGCTATATTATTGTAAAGTTTCATTAAAATCCATTCAGTAGTATTTGCGTGAAAGTGTAACAAACATCCATCCATACATACAAACTTTCGCCTTTATAATATTAAGTAAGGATGTTGTTTATTGTATTGGCTATAGGTTTGAACCCATCCGCCTGTCTGACAGCAACCAGAGATAAAACAATTATCTCTTGGTCACACAAACACATATCCCAAGTGGAAATAGAACCCACGACCGTCGGCGCTGAAACTGATTACTCAGTAACTGCACCACCGCTGCTTGGATATCATTTTGAAAAATTCATTAGGTACTTAAATAGTTCTTGCTGATTTTCAAATAATTAAACAAAATTTTACTCTGCGCAAACACATTTAGAAGTCCAAATGGTTACAAAGTAGGACAAATTTAGAATGAACAATATAGGTTCGTTGTTACTTAAATCTTTATCAACACAATCGTTTCAGTGTCAATACATCACTCCTGGGAACTCACCCTAAAAATTGAAGGTGGCTTAGAAATGGGCGACCAAATAAAATCTTTATTAGAAAAATTGTCTAGCCTCTTTGACAAAATTATCAACCAAAACCAGACGATAATCAAAATAGAAGATGAGCTACCGAGCGAGAAGCAAATTTTGTGGCAGAAAAAACTAGCACAGATCCACGAAAACCAGCACAGAATAAAAAATGAAATGCAGAACAATATTAATGTGTGAATAAAGATTTTAAAACAATATGACAATTTGAATTTTTTCGTAAATTTTATTAATCATTTGCAAGCTGTGTAAAAAACATAATAACAGACGATATTAACAGACGCTAGGTACTAGACAACATAGAGACCAACAGGGGAATCAAGTAGGCTATATCGATGAATATTATTCATCAATATGTCCGCGAAAAAAATATCCATCTATTACCGCATATTACGTATATAATTCTAATTCTTTAAAGTCAATATAAGCTGTGCAATGCGGAAGAGTTCAGAAGACCTAGCTGTCTTACTCGCACCCACGGAATGAGTGTTGGTAGGCGCTTCCACATTTTTTTATATAGCCAAGTTATGTTAGAATCATCAAAACTGTCTGGCTACTGATAAAAAGTCTTATAGTTCTTATAGTTACAGAAGATACATGATTATATGAAGTTCAGCTTTTATTAAATAACGTAAGTACAATTAAATTTTATTGAAGTTTAAAGTCTTGGGTTGCCAACATAGTGTCTGGCAATGGATAACATGATTTCTAACACTATCAAAGAGATGACGAAAAGGTTGAACTTTATACTTAAATGAATTTAGGTGTATAAATTACACGCCTTTGTTACATGTTACAGCCAAAGCCATAATAACCTTAACGTAATAACTACAGGCATTCAAAAAAAATGAAAATTCATTTTCAATCGACTTCCTTTCAGTTTTTTAGCAGACTTTTTTTAGCAGACTTCAAAATAGAGAGAGGTTTTATGTTCGACTATGTATTTATTTTTTCATTTTATGGGTCTTAAATTAAAACCATGTCAATTGTTATTAACGCTTTATTGTTTACAATAAATTAACGTCATTGTGCCATTTCATTTTTATCGAATATTTAAAGTATTAAAGTAAGCATGTCCCATTCTTAAAAGAAAAACCATTTGAAATGATTATTTAAATTTTTGAGTAAAAACTTAGTATCTAAGCATTTCTAAAACGGGTATATACCTTTATATAGGTTATATACCCTAACCTTTATAATGACAACAAACAAATGCATTGCACTCTTCGGGTAAATTACAGCATAAATTTGTTTAAATCCCACAAACTTCTAAATTTAATCTAATATAACACATTTTAGTGAATTATGAATCTTCGACTTTGTTCTGAAGAAATTCTCCAGTAAAAAAGACTAAAAATATAATAAGAAAAATAATGGTTGAAATAAACAGGTGAAATAAAAAAAGTTAATGGTTTAAAAAAGAAATAAAATTTATTAAAAACGATTATAAATAACGTAACATCGAATATTTACAACAACAAAAAATATTCATTGTAATCTGAACAGAACGTGAAACGCACGTTCCGTATGGAATCGAAATCGATAAGTATTATTGGAAAAGGAGAAAAGCTTTACTAATGTCTACATCATATGCATAGCAGTCATTTAACATTATATATTAAATACTCTCCACGTAATATTTTAATCAAACCATCCCAAAATGAGAAACATCCTTTATACATATCATATATAAAAGAAATACATACTGATAAATTTTGTTTTTGAAACAAACTTTTAACATTTTAAAGTGTACTGTAATATTACATATGGCCGAGCCTAATACGATAACAAAAGATATTATAATACAACAATTAAGTTGAAATTGAATGAAAACAAATTAAACTCACGACCTTCTATAATGTTGGTGTGGGCAGAGTTTCAGACAACTCGTCACATCACCAAAGTTATTCGGACCCAAGTGATCAAATTTCATTTATAATATAGAAGAAGAGTCCCGATCACACTATCTCTCTCTTTCCTCCGCTCTTTAAAGTCAGAGCAATTGCTGTGTCATACGAAAAAGGAATAAACAACACTCCATACATAAAACATTACTTGGAGACTTACTTAGGCTCAAATCTCCAACATTTATATTATTACACAGTAATTATATGCAATTTCAAACAGGGACGCGCTACAGGCGAAGTCACTTGTGTACTTAGCATTATTACGGAACATATGGGGTGCATTTCTTACAATATTAATAATTAGAAAACTCCCACCCTTAACGGTTAAATTTATAATTACCTAAATGTTGAATACTAAACACTTCTATGCGTTACAGTAGCTATGCACTGAAATAATTCTACGGCCATTACAACATTCCTTAATTCTATATTGTTATGCTTCGTAAACATTACGGGAAAATCGCCTAAAACCTAGCTACAAAGTTAACGTTATGATAACGAAACAATAATTATTAATTAATCATTTCTTCGTTGTTCACGCTTTCAAGATGGCCGCTCTTGTAACGCACAAAAGTTCGCGCCTAAATCTCGAAACCGATTAATGATTGCGCGTAATGAATATTCTAAATAGTCGAAGTGGAAATAAAATAGGTCACCGACCCGCCTTTGACCTTACGTGGGCGGTTACACTGGACCAAACTGCGACCGCAATTCCCTTTGAATGCAATTAAGTGTACACACAAACGTTACATTTACTCCGAAAGGAACGAAGATATATAGTATATTAAGTATGCGTATATGTATGAGTATGAGAAATTAGGTGCTCCTTTTACAGACGAAGTTAATAGTCATGTGGTCATGGCATTTTCAACATCAAACATGTCTCTTGGCATGTCGAGTGTACAAATGACCTTCGAATATCACAATGAGATTATGTCTCCGTCGACAATGTAATGATTAGAGCGCAAGAAAACCATAATTTCTAACAAAAAATAGATTATGTACATCAATGTATCTTTTAAGGCGACAATCGCACTGTCACTGTCAATTTTCCGAATTTGGAGATCGGCTCTGTTTAATTGCCCGGAATCGATACTACTTTTAGTTAGGCCCGGTTTCTGAAACATTGAACATGGTATCAGCTGTCAAATTGCTTTTAAAATGTTATGTTTGTTGTAAAAGATTTGTTAAACTCCCCGAGTTGATCAGGATTATCATCTTAATGATCAGAAAGATCGATTCAAAGAGTTCAACGACCCTTTTGGCAATTCAAATAACATTTGAAGACTGCTACGATGGTCAGTGTTTCAGAAACCGGCAAACTTGCAAACAAATCTAAAGGAATTTAAACCGATGCGGGTGCCGTAAGGGGAGCGGGGTGGTGGTGGTGATGGTGGTGGTGATGGTGGTGGTGATGGTGGTGGTGGTGGTGGTGGTGGTGGTGGTGGTGGCGAGGGGCTCAACGCAGGTCCGGGTTGTCGTTGATCTGCTTCTTGATGCGCACCAGCATGCTGGTGTACCACTGGTCGAGGCGCGATATGCTGTCGTAGGTCTTCACGGCCTCGGTGAACGCCTCCACGTTCTGGTCCTCCAGGTGCTCGATCAGCTCCTGCCGGAAGAGGGCATACGGTCGGTGATGGTGCTGTTTGTGTCGGTGAAAGTGCCCGAATAGTTTCCACTCCGCCAACGAGAGTGACGAGTTCATGAAACACTGGCACGACACGATACGACGGAGTTCGTGAGATAAATGACAACAAAGCTGTATTACGAGACATTTTCTTAATACCCGCAGACTTCTAAAGGATACTAGCCTGAAAACAAAATTATTACATAGGGCCTCACATCGAGATTATTTCTTGTGTCGTTATGTTTATGTTGGAGGATTAAGTTTGTCGATGTTGTCAGAGTTTGCGTCGAAGTTGTTGTCGGTATCGCTATTCGCGACGGCGCATGTGTTTGTGTCGGTGTTGCTGTCGTGTCGTGTGTTTAAGTCGGCGTTGCCATCGTCGAGTGTTTGTGTGTTCATTTCCGTCGCAGATATAGATATATAGTTATCACGTGCTCCGTGGTAAATGAAAGCATCGTGATGAAGCGTGCATATTTTCGAAAGTCGCCAGGCCTTTGCCCAGCAGTGGGACTTATATAGGCTTATTTTTTTTAAGTGAAAATATCCACGCGAGCAGGCGGTTCACCTGATGTTAATTTAATACCGCCGTCCATGGACATCTACTACACCCGAGGGTTGCAGATGCGTTGACAACCTTTTGAAAGTTGCGCTCCGGCCACCTCACTCACGGGACGAAGCGCGAAAGTACTACACTTCCACTTCACGCCGGTCTTCTGTGAGGTCGTGGTACTCGCCCGGACGAGCCTGTCCATTCGTGCAACAGCCGAGGCTGCTGCGTGGCCCATCGTGAATAAACCTTAGTGGTGGACACTAATACTCTCTGTACACAGGAGGCCTCATACAGGCTCCCTCTACACAGAGGAGGGCTTTGCCCGGCAGTCGGCCTTATATAGGCTCCCCCTGCACAGAGGCCTTCGCCCAGCAGTGGGCCTTATATAGGGAGTGAGATGATCGCTCCTTAGCTGTTTCTAAAACAAACGATGTACTGTATAACAATGTAATTGTTTGAGAAACCTACGGAGTAGTTCTTTCGGCCGTTTCCCCTCCGTTGGAGGGACCTCATTGCGGAAACGGCGGTAGATTTGGGAAATGTCGCCGTGGCGTACCTTGACGAGCTTGCACTCGCGCGTGTCGCCGAAGGCCGGGTAGAGCGCGCAGTACTTGTCGAGCGCGTGCTGCGCGTTCAGCAGGTCCACGCAGAGGTGGCACAGCGCCGCCCGGAACATGTACTCCTTGGCGCTGTACTTCAGCAGGCTGTTGTCCAGGGACGACTTGGCGATCTGGGCCAAACGGGAGAGCCCTTCGTTAGACGCGACACGGTGAGCGGGTGAAATTTCACAAGCCCAGAAATAGATGGAGACAGCTCGTCGGCCAGTTAAATAAGAGTCACGGTACAGCTGCGAGGGAACGACTAAGTAGAGAGTACAATAGCAATGGTACCCGTTGTGAGAAGGTGGCAGGCTATTTAGCTGTCCACCAGATGACTCCGTGGCGCAATTGCCAAAGCGTTGGCTTCGGCGTCGGGGGTCGTGGGTTCGATTCCCACGCGGGAAAACAATTTTGTGACCGACAGATAGTTGTTTCGCATCTGGGTGTCCACAGTTTATGTTTGTAGAACGTCCTTGCAACACAGGATAATGTTCCTATAGTATGTCCTAAAGTAAGGGTAATGTTTTTAAAACGTAATAACCGCCGCCCGTGGAACATTGGCAACACCCGTAGGGTTGCGGATGCGTTGCCGCCTCTTAATAAAGTGGGCCCCGGCTACCTTACCCACCAGACGTAACGCAGAAGTGTAACACTTCCACTTCACGTCGATCTTTCAAGGTCGCGGTACTCCCCCGAACTTTCCCATCCTTTTAATGGGGGAAGGTGTACAAAGGTAAACGAGAAGGCGGTTCACCTGATTTGCAGTGATCACCACCACCAATGTCCACGTCTCCTACACCCATGGGATTTATTGTAGTCATACCAAGAGTGGCCGCCGGTCACCTGGCTACCAGACGAAACGCAGAATATCCGATGCTGTTAATGGTCAGTCATCGCGGTACTTCCCGCTGCGAAGGGTCGGTCTTCGCGTTATATCCTCGAGTGAGCCCCACGTGCCGTTGTGTAGGAAACCTAAGATCGTGTTAAATACGTAACCTGAGATCGTATTACCTGCTCGTATATCTGTATCGCCTTGTCGTAGTGCTCCAGCTGGGCGGCGTACTGGGCCAGCTTGAGCATGCACTTGTTGGCGGAGGAGGTGGACTCCTCGCCGCGGAAGTAGTCCGCCGCCTGCTCGTAGTGCTGCATGGCGCGCGCCAGGTCGACGCACTCCGTCTCGTACAGCTCGGCGATGTTCTGCGGCCGCGATACGGTCATGTGTGAAACGGCCGATGTCTGAGCGATGATAGGTGGCCAAACTTATACGGATCGACACCCCCATTTACGAGAGAAAGTTAATCCAGGTGTTGTGTAAAAAGTATTTACGTTGTATTTAACATATTCAGGGCACACGGTGTATGTCAAAAGGTGGAAACAAAAAGTAGCCCGCTGAATTTCTTTCGGTTCGGTGCTTCTCAGTTCGGTGCTTTGCCCGCGCGGTGGTAGTATTTTGGTGGTGATTTTGTTGAATAAAGACATTTGTGAGCGGCGTGATAGAGTTCGTAACGAAGATATCCGCCGTAGAACTAAGATAACCGATATAGCTCAGAGGATTAGCAAGCTGAAGTGGCGATGGGCCGGCCATATAGCTCGTAGAACCGATAACCGTTGGGGAAGAGAGGTTCTCGAGTGGCAGCCTCGTACTGGCCATCGCAGTGTGGGACGACCCCCCACTAGATGGAGTGACGACATGTGCAAATGTGCGGGAAGTCGATGGATGCAGGTGGCTCAGGATCGTACTTCGTGGCAGTCTATGGGGGAGGCCTATGTTCAGCAGTGGACTCAAACAGGCTGAAATGATGAGCGGCGGGGCCTATGGTCAGCAAGCTAGGGGGCGGGCTAGGGAAGGCACGCCGATTGATTCAGCGTGCCTTACATGAGTTTATTTTTATTTATTTAACAAGGCTTACCAACTAAATACATATAGAAACAATTATTATGAGGCACTTAAACATTGTATACATGCATTTAAATTAAAGGTGAACACAACATATAATAAAAGACTTCCTTTAAGGAGAACAGTAACTTATAAAACTATCACCACAATAAAATAATAAAATTAGAACAAACAAAGAAAAACCTAACTTACATACTGTATAAATGGGAAAAAAGAGAGGAAGTAATAAAAACTTTTAAAATGAAAAAATTATTGGGCTGTGTAACGTGTTAGCACTTTCCTCTTTAAAATATTTAAGCTATCAAAATGGATACCCACATCACAATTTTGAAATGTTGAATTGAATACATTCAACAAAAATAATAAAGTTAGTAACCAAATCTATCTGTAGATAGAATATTGAAACCGGCACCACCTAGATGAGATAAGGGCAAGGAAAAAGATTTTTCCTTTAATCAGTATTGGCTTTTTTATGTGAAGAGTTGCCAAATGAGCAGACGGTTCACCTGATGTTAAGTGAATACCGCCGCCCATGGACATCTGCTACACCCGAGGGTTGCAGATGCGTTGACAACCTTTTTAAAATTGGGCTCCGGCCACCTCACTCACCAGACGAAACGCGAAAGTATGACTGGTGTTTAGGAAGGTCGTTACTTGGCATACCTGATGCTGCTTAGCCGCCACGGTGAACCTGCCCATATCCGTGTAGATTTCGATCGCTTTCAGCAGACACGAGACCGCCTCTGTAAAAGGATAGTTAATAGTTAACAACTGCCTTTAATAATTCATTGCTAGGCAAGCGCTCACAAATTATATCGAAACTACTATTAAGGAGAACCTAATAGACAGACCTCAGTATCTGGTATAAATTTCAACTTGCTATGTCCACCCGTTCCTGAGAAAATCGGTGGTAATTATTTACCAATTTAATTAATAATAATAAAGCCTTTTTGTTTCCCATCAGCTAATTAGCTATTACATTTAACTATATATGAATTTCACTTATGACTATTCACTTAACTATTATTATTATTTTTTTATATTTATTGCATTTATTCTTAGATAGTTTGGTCTTAGTTCTTAGTCTGTTTGGGTATAAGCCTCCTCCAGTTTTCCCTATCTCTCGCTTGCTTAATCCACTCCTTGCCGGCTATAGCTATGATGTGCGATAATACTAATTTAATTATGATAGTATAGTTGGTAGGTACGGAACCCTCGGCGTACGTGTTCGACACCTATTCACGGGTTTTTTTCACTCATTTCAATTCGTTTAAGACTAGAGCGATAGGCGATATAGTAATATTACTTAGAGGGAGAAAAAAAAATACTTATATCGCGTCTGAACTACATTTTAAAACAAGAAAGTAATCATAAATAATGAAAAACAAAAGCGTAACGTCCTCGAAATTATTAGTGACCGTAAAATGGCTTTTGTTGATATCAAGGAAAAAACCTCTGTTTATAACAGAGTTTGGTTCCACTTCCGTGTGGTGATGACCTTGAACCTCGATTATATACATACTAGGTGTCAATAATGTAATAATGGGGAAAGCAAGCAAACGAGCACCATGATATCACCGCCTGCCCTATGATGTAACACCGCATCTTATCACGGAGCAAAATACGCTTATCGCCGTCCGAAAGATACTGGACACGAAATCCAAATAGATAAGACTAGGGTGTCGAGATGCAATCTATATAATACGATAATGGGGAACGCAAATCTGTAGCTAGTTAATCGTCGATTATGTTTTTTAGAGAACCTCATTGAAGAAAATAGCCAAAGTAGCCTTTGAGAACTATGAATTGTTGAAGGATGTATACACGACATGTGCATGGCAACATTTTCTTTGTTGTTTTTTTTTTGTGGAAAAATAAGGCAAATGCGTAAGCGGGTCACCTGATGGTAACCGATCACCGCCGCCCATGGCCACTTGCAACATCGGAGGAGTCACAGTTGCGTTGCCGTCATTAAATGTGGGAGTAGGCTCTCTACTTGAAGGTGCTTAAGTCGTATCGCTCTTTATTCTAGTTTCGTAGTCTTAATAGTCGGGTCGAGACTGAACTCAAACTCAAAATTTATTCAAATAGACGCTTGTGCGCCCTTACGAAACATCCAATTTTAATTAAACATTGATACATAAGTTCGTAAGTAAGTTACCACCGGTTCGGAAAGCAGTTTCTGTTGAGAAAGGACCGGCAAGAAACTCAACAGTTGCTCTTTTTTTTAATTTTCAGCCTACAATATAACATGGTACAGGTATAATAGTCATAGTTTAGCCTACGTGAGTATCAGCAGTATTAAGTCCACACATTGGCGTCGTCGAGATATTATGCAATGGTATGATATGGCCTTTAACCTGTTTACTTTTAATTTGGACAGGACCCAATCGACCCAGCCCATTCTTGGATCGGAAAATGTCGCTACGTAGCTCTTTCTCCAAAGTTATCGAGTCAGAAGTGTTCTCAGTGACAGGAATTCGTAATGACTAAATGAGACTCGGTTTCAATGAATATTTTATCCTTACTATCCTTACTAATATTATAAACGCGAAAGTTTGTATGTATTGATGGATGTTTGTTACTCTTTCACGCAAAAAGTACTTCAGAGATTTTAATGAAACTTTACAATAATATAGCTTATACATCAGAATAACACATCCTTACTTCCTTACTAATATTATAAACACGAAAGTTTGTATGTATGGATGGATGTTTGTTATTCTTTCACACAAAAACTAATGAATACTACTAACATAGATATTAATGTAAATAATACACACAATATACATACAACTAATATAGATATTAATGTAAATGATAACTTTACAATAATAATAAGAAGATGATGAAGTACGTATGATCCAGCGAACCGGGCGGGGGACAGCTAGTATTATAAATTTTACAGTGCGTATGTGAATTTTTTAGTAATAGCTTCATCTCAATTTTATAAACTCGGACGAGGGATGAGCCAAAACTGTGATTAAAAAGCACATTGTAAGAATCCTTTTTGGCAGAACGCCAGTAAAAAACACCGCCTCTTTTGCGATGTACAGAATCCAGACAGAATGACCTATATCCTAACTTAACCCTATACCCTATACATCCATACAAATTTATCTGACTGAATATAAAACAGATTGTCATTCTATAAGAAGTCAAGCTATAAGAAATTCCCTCCTGCAATACATATCATTTATGTATGGGTGCAGGCGCATGCACTCAATATAAACATGCATACTATACACCTAAAGCCCAAGTTATATTAAGAATTATCATTTACAGATGTTAATTGTTAGTGATAATTTTACTTTAACTCTACTTTTAACTCTCTTTTATTAAGGCTATAGCAAGTCCTTGGTCTTGCATAAATTATGTCTTCACAACACGCTTTAGAGGATTCCACAAATAATTTTTACTGCTTTATACACATTGATTATAAAATATAGACCTGATCAGAGAACATTTTTAATGTCCATTTGTGGCCAATCACGGAATTTGCCACTATAATTAGCAAAAAATCGATATTTATCATTCATATTAAACCCTTAATATAGAAATAAGGGCAGTAATATGGATGATGTCATTAATGAAGATGAACATTCAGTTCTTAATTTGAGAATGTAAAACAAACTGTAATTTTGGACTGCATAAATATATTTGTGATTGTTCCATGATTAAATATGTGGACAGTAACAACTCATTCTCCATGCAACTAATTTTTTCATAATTAGATTAGAAACTGTAAAATTACCGTTTGGATCGCATTTCTTGTAACAGTTGGAGGCATCCACAAAGTTTGTGGCGGCATCGTGGCGTACGCCCGCCTTCAGATGGAGCTGTGCCGCATTACAAAATGCCTGGCCAGCTTGCGACCATTTCTTTCCCATTTTAAACAGGTTCGCTGCTCGGAGGTAGCAATCAACCGCTTCTTCCACTTTTGATGATCCACTGTGAAGTGAAATTTTCTTGTGATCGACATGTCTCATTTATGTATATTAAATCTGTGAAAGCCAGTTGATAGTAAGACACTTCTTTTCTTTATTTTCAATGATGTCCTAAACTGTAATAACCTCATGATGATTAAGTGTTTTTCTAGGAAAGTTATATTATACAATATGTACGAACAAACAAATGGCTGAATGTGTGAATAATAAAAAATCTATACAGCAATTTGTTTTAAAAGTAATCTTCAGTCTTATAAGCTATACGTCATCATCTTTCCGCCCTTGTCCCACTTAAGTGGAGTTGGCAAAAGATGTTAATCGTGTTGTAAGTGGTTTTGGCTATGTTTTTTGTATGTAGAAAGCAAAATGATAATACAAGTAATGATAATAAAATAATGCGATTTTTAGACATTTAATGAATACTTAATGATTATATGGACATGTCTGGAGGGGAAAGTTTAGGTATAGAAAAACTGACCCATTGGACAAAGTTTAGTTATAGAAAAACGAATTAAAAGGTCATAAAGAAATATGTTCTCGGCAACATTCGTTTGCCATTTAGGAAGTTTAATAGAGAGAATGGAGAACCTAATGACTTTTATGAATCATAATACAGTTTACATGTCAGCAGACATTCAACTTATATACACATTTAAAATGAGTAGTAAAACTAGCTCCTCGTTAATGGTTAAAATATTTAAGGTGTGCATTGCATGACACTATTTATTTATTACGATTAATTCTGTTTAACTATTACATATTTTTTTTATATAAAAAAACGAGAAGTTTAGTTACAATGAAAAATAGATTACTATCACTTTAATAACTTAATTATACCATTCACCTTTTCCAAGATAACGTAATTAATATACAATAGTTCTTAAATTCATTATTATCAACAAGAAATGTGCAATCATTGTACTTACCCAAAAAGAGATCCGAGGAAACTCTTAGATGAATTTAACTTTTTCTCCGCTTCCGCAATTAACTGCATCGCTTTCTGTTCATTGTCCGCCATTTTAATGGCTTTACACTAAGCACTATTGAAATTTAAATACAATTAAGGAAGAATATAACAATTTATTGACAAAATGTCGTCACTCCCACAAAGCCACAAACTGCACAAAACCGTCGCTGTCATCGATTGATTCAGTTTTACTTGGAGTATTACCAGTACGAAAAATGTTAAAATCGAAAAACAGCGTTCTGAAATTAAACACATAAAATAAAATTCACTCATCTATACATTGATAAGTGAATTTTTTTACTACACAAAAGCATACTTAAGTTGAAAGTTAATAGTGAAGTATAACTTATGTCTAACAATTATGTAATAATAATTTGAGTCATGGGTATATGCCCGTTAAGAGCGGCTATGAGCTGCATTGCTGTCATATTTGGGCCAGTACTGCAAAATGCAAAAAATACCTTAAATCAGTTTCATGTAAAGTTAAAGTAAAATAAGTCGTTAATTTCATTCCTGATCACAAGAATGATTTGACTACTTAGTATTTTTTTTTTGTTTCCGTAAGTACTTCACTATCATGTTCTAATATTTATAAATATAAATAAATAAAAGGATATAATTATATTTGATATTATTACCGGAAGACAATATTATGAATGATGACAAATAGGTATTTGTAATTTAAAGAATTATTAGCATCTGATTCGTACCTTAGATCGATTTTGGGTCCAATACTGTTTTATATTTTTCGGTTATGAATGATGCTAAATGGTTAAATTTTTTTTCCGATGTTAAAACACGGGATAACTACTTCTACGTTTTCAACACTACTGTCAACTAGATCTGTTTCAAGGGCTTTTCTATATACTAAAACTTCCTGTAACAAAATATCAACTCCACGTTGACTAAATTAGTCTAGTTCACATTTAATAAAAGTTAAAGAATAAACCTTTACCTATTTTTGAGAATATTACCTTCTTGAAACTAGAAAAGAAAGCAGTTCTAGGCGGACAGTACTGTGCGCTTTTCACGATTTTTTGTATGTTTTGTGAGAGAAAAATGTATTAACTTTTCTACTAATGAACTTTTCTAAATGGTCATGAACTGCAACAGCGATAACTAAAAGGTGGTTTTTTTTTAATAAATTATACATCATACTCACTGTTAAAAGTTCGTAATGTATTTACCTTGCTGTACTTTGTTAATAAATAAGTAAAGCTAAGAGATTTTAAGCTGATTATTTTTAAAGAGAAAAATATATTGCTCTTGGTATTAACATTAAACAAGTTGATGCACATTATGTACTATGAAAAATCCTTAAAAAAATTCATACACCGTTGAGTAGATAATATCCACAGCAGGAAAATTCTTCAATATCGGATGTGGGATCGTCTCAACGCTTTTTATGATCTAAACTGCAGAGAATTAACAAGCATAGCCAACTACCGTTTTAATAAGTTAGAGGAATAGTAATGTATTGGTATTTATAAATGGCAACTGTGGAAGGCCACTAAATTGTTTTAGCTGTGGCACGAGATGTTTAGATGTGGGCAGGTCCTTCTGGGCAAGTACCACGACCGCCTTGAGTAAGGTAACCGGGGTCCATTTTATTTAAAGGTGGCAACGCATCTGCAATCTTCCGGGTGTTGCAAATGTCCATGGCGGTTATCACGTAACGTCCTGCTAACTTTTTGTAGAACGTAAACTTGCTATCTTTTTACATTTAAAAAAAGGTTTATTCCACATTTAATTTGATTTCAATTTTCTTGATATACCTAATATGGTTTTCATTAGGGTGGCAATAAGGTCCATAAAAAAGTCATACACGGCGAAAAGCGCGCAGGTCCGGGTTTTTTCCACCAGGAATTCATCTAAATCTAGTTGCCAGCAAAATGTATTGAAGTGTAAACAAGCTGCGTAATCTGCTGTGAGTGCTGGTCATAGTAATAAAACTCGTCATGTTGTCTACAAAAAGTAATGTGTGATTGTTTTTTTCCTTTTTACCTTTATTCTTTTGTTTCTTTAAAAATATATACAGTCTGTTCTATGTGTTTTAGCTATATGCGGGTGACAGTTGAGAGTTTGACATAATTATAGATTGAACAACTTTTTAGGCATGAGATATACCTGCAACATTCTGTACCCGGCCTTAAAGGTACAGGTATCGCCGTATACTTGGTGTTAAAACCCAGTATCAAAATACCTATAGGTATTAGGTATGTTTTGGAGACTCGATGGAATCAAATGAATCGAAACTCTGGAACATTTAGATTTTTTTTTAGTTCATCAGTTTTTTTTTATTGAGATTTAATCAGTCTATAATAAGCTATATATTTACTAATGTAAAGAACCCTATTCCCAAAAAAAAGTAATTCAATATAAATATTACTGTTTAAACTTATTACGCAATTATTTATCTACCTAATTTTCATAGAAATAAATAATAAATTTATCTCAAGGAATTATTTGGTATAAAATGGCACAGGTGGTCGAGTGCCAACGTTATGAAATACCGCCACCGTCTGACGGGGCGGCGCTGGGTCCGCGTACTCGCGAGCGATATCAACAATACCTATCGGGTCCAGAACGGGCTTCTGCCGTACATACCCAGTCTGCATACTGGTACTTTCATACTGGGTATTTATACCTGTACCAGTATATACGCCTCATCTCTACAACTTTTACTCACATTCGTAAGTTTCCGCTTGAGAATGTTCCTATTATGAATGTTAGATATCTACAGAGTCAAACAAAAGAACAGAACATACATTACTTTTTTTTACGTGACGAAGTTGGCGGTTTATCTTTTTAAGTGAATACTACCCATGGACATCTGCTACACCAGAGGTTTTGTTAATGCGTTAACAACCTTTGAAAAAGTGGGCCCCGGCTACCTCACTCACCAGACGAAACGCGAAAGTATTATACTTCCACTTCACGCCAGTCTTCTGTCAGTGGTACTTCCCTGGACGGACCGTTTAAACTGCCTAAACTGATATCAGAGTCAGAACCATCTGAATCGTCACTGGATTCATCATCTGACTCTACTGCAGTAAGGATAATTCCATAACGTCGTCGATATGGTTCTTTTTTTACGTCGTGTTGAGTAATAACCGCCGCCCATAGACGTTTGCAACATCCGGAGGGCTACAGATGTGTTGCCACTGGTTTAATAAAGAAGGCCTCGGCTACCTCACACACCAGACGACGCTATTCGTCTGGTGAGGTAGCCGAGGCTTCCGCTCCTGATATAATGCTTATACTTCACACCAGTTTTCTGAGGTCACGGTACTTTGTCGGACGGACCAGAAGTACTTGGGGACAAATCCACTTGTCTTACCAGCGTGGCATATAATTGGGCGTTCATCTTTCCTTTTTGGCACCGTGGTACACTAGTATCATCGGTACAATAATACTTCAAAGTACTACCTGTATGAGATAGGATAAAGGTACTAAAATCCGCAACATCGACCTTATTACCTACGGCCTCCGGAAGTTCAAAATATATCATACTACATATATCGTAACAATTTAAATAATATGATTTCTTATATGTATATATTTTACTATATAATTATACTTTCAACATTTTTATATTTTCTGCTTTCCCCTAATGGCCTTTATATGTTGTATATGCATATTAATCATCGCGATTGGTTGTGATGATAAAATCGCAATTATAATTAATTAACTGGGAAGGACTTTAGTCAGGAAATTATCAGATAACAAGCAATTGACTAAAGATGAACGGGTGTGGTTATGAAATAACACAACATTTTAACTTTGTTTGTTTATTGTATTTTAATAGATAATCGCTACTATTTGCGATTCAACAAGACACATATACCAATTTCGAAAGCTTTTATAGAATATTTTTAATCGAGGACAGATTATATTTCAGTTACACAGAATAATCCGCTTCTAACAAAAATATATTTTATTCAAAATATGACGTCACATTATATAAAATTTGAGTATGTATTGGACATACTTAGCGTTGATGTTAAAAGTAGAGTACATTTGGAATCTATTTGGTATTCTATAACGGGAAAGTCGAAGTTTGTATTGCCATACAATATGTCATGATGGCAACATAGGAGAATTTAATTATTTTCTTACAGGACAAAAGTTTCAGAGTAACACAATGTGACGTCATAGTATTACTACAATTTCCAACTAACACATTTTAACAGCTATACAATAATCTCTGTAAGATACTACAATAATACTGTGATTTACTTGAATATACGACTAGGCTTATTGTGTTTTGGTCTATTCCAGATAAGGTTTTTACTTTTACATAAATAGGTGTTTAAGACACGGTATCTTATTGGGTATATCTTCAACAGACCAAGATGCAATATCCACAGTCCTTCCATACAGTACAATGCTTTTGTCAATCTTAGAAGTAATCAGAAGAGTTACGTGACGATTTTCTTTGTATCTTTGTAAGGGCGGCAAAAGCAATGTACCTTCAACTCTTGACTGGCCGCTCTATAAATATTTTGTGGTAGTATTGTCACGGGAACAAGAGATCAATACAAGATTGTCTTGTCGAATAAGCTTATTGATAGGCCTAAAAGGTAGAAAGATAACGTTTAACTAATGATAGACAAAGGCTCAGTATGGACCCTTGGAGACAGAAAAGGGGATGAGAAAATAATAAATAAATCAAAACAAAAAAAAGTGCATCATAATTCTTTTATTCATTTCATAAATAAACTAAATCGGATATCTAAAGGCACGAGACAGCTAGCAAAGTAGCGTAGCGAATATATTTACATAAAACAAAATCCTTTAAATTATATCCATAAGTATAACGTAATAAAATGTACAACTTAAAAATTTTCAAATGACATGTAAAACAAATTCAAAAATGAACGTAGTTTCGCACATTTTTTTTCTGAGACAAAAAAAATTCGAAACGTAAAATAATTAAATATAACAGGGAATCCCGCCATTTCGCATCAAACAATCAAATCTACCACACATCACAGAGTGAATTTAAGACGACGAATAAGTCGGTATCGCCAGTTGTAAAAATTAAAAATGGATGGTGTATAATGCTTAATGATTGATGCCAATTCTATGATGCGTACCTATAGAAATCGCATCAGTATTGCACAAAAACTTGTAACAAATAAATCGCGACGGTAGATCGGGCTGAAAATGATATTTGATACCATTAAAATAATTCATAGATTATCAACACAAACCAAAGGTGAATGAACAATGTTGACACGTTTTGAAGTCATCATCTCCATACATTTTTCATGACCACCGTATTTAAGTCAGCGTCCACTAACCATGGCTTCTAAGCAAACACCTACGTATATACAGAAAACGAAATCTGCTAGTTTTGATGATTCGTACAAGAAAATTTTTTCAGTAACATTTAAAATTAAGTTCATACAGGCGACGCATTTTCTAAACACAAAACGGCGTGCTGACCGGTTGCCACTTCCATTTTCTACCAAGAACTCCACTAAACTACTAAATAAGACATGAATATGGCAACAAATTTCGACAATACTTTGTGCAGACGAACATCAGAATGTGCTGATAAGTTAGGGAAACTCATAAGAGATTTAACAAAAGAACATAAATCGTAATACCTAAAAAAATTACTATGCAGTCTTAAAAGGAAATATCACATAGCAAATCTTAATATACACAGCGACGCGTGAGCACAAAGTATTGTTTACAAGACGAAAGTCCTTCGGGGATATGAAATTGTTTCATACAACATACAAATACTATATGCAAAACATCGTATTCGGAAATAAAATCTGGGATTTGATTATTCATGTTAATGGAAACATTTATAAAAATAATATAGTACTCGAGAGTATTTTCGGGTACTTTCAAAATATTCTGAATTACTTGTTGTACTATATATATACTTTCGCAACGTAAAAACCATTCGTTTCGACTATTAATTTTGATTAGTTTTGATTTGAGCTTAGATCGATTTAGATCTGGTATCTGACGATTTTAAAGAGGGGTCCCGCGGATAGGTCAGACCCTGGCTAAGGTAAGCACCAGTCCATATATTCAAAACAGTCATGCAGTAACGAACACCCGTAACTACTAATTCAATAACAATCTAACTCATAACTTTATTACATTTCAACACATAAGACTTCCTCGAAGACGTGGCAATTAAATCGTACATATAATTTGAATGAGCAGTGGCGAAAATTAATAAGGGGTCTTAACAAATCAAAGGCAAAATCTCAGTAAAGAAGTACATTAGCACGTCCCCAAGCGAAAACTCTGTTTGCAAAGATTACGCGAAACATACAAGAATTGGTTTCTTTTCAATAATTGTATTCTAATTTCCTGTTCAAAAATACCATTTAATATACGCTGGCTCTTAACATACGAGTATGATTACAACATATATGTTTTATTTATACATATAATAAGATAATATTTGAAATATATTAACGGTTCATTACAACTACACAATGAGTGGTCTATGTTCTACGGATAAAGAACTTAATAGATCTAAATAGTAACTGACGACATATAAACGCCCGGCCCAAATGTTATATAAACATGTCACATTGACACAATGAATTTTTAATCTGTGGAAATTCCTTTCGGAAAGAAAGGCGGAGCGCGTAATGTTTAACAAGAGGTCATCCTTTGTACAAATCATGGAATGTGATATCGATTGATAAATAAATAAATATTTTTTTTGATATTAAACACTGTACTAATAGCGCACCATTTCATGAAACCAAAAAAAAAACATTAAATTTCAATAAGCAAGATTCTATTTCAACATAGGTCATACGTAATTAATAAAAATATTAAAAAGATTGCTTAAAACCATTATATAGTAGCCGTACATGTTGATCATAATATTTGAGAAAATTCATGAGCAAACCGAAAGAAAATCTCTATTCGACATTAGACCATAATTTATAGTGTAAGCATAAACGTTTAATGAAAAAAATATACATACAGGAAGGTAATTAATCTTACTGACTTATGTACAGTAACACAAATGTAGGCTAAAACGTCCTGCTGCACAAAAACCCCAAACCTGACAGCGCACAAAGCAAGTTTAAACATAAGGGCACCAGCCTGAATGACGAGTTAGCGACGTGCCTTTCGATATTGCACCTTGTTTATTAACATTTTAAGATCGAAAGTGGAACGCGTCGAGACATTTGTTGCCGGGTCAGGTGAGAGATTTGGCGCGGAACATCATCGAGATCAGTTCGACTGGCACACCGGCACCGAGTTCACCGCAACATTCCCGGTGAGAGATGGCGGCGAGTTCTCAAACCGTCCCCAAGTACGCTTCGTCGCTACCAATTCCGGGAACGAGGTGACAAAGACCGCGGCGCGAATCGATCTGGACGAGGTTCGTAACTATGGACAAGCTCAAAATGTCGGGGGGGAGGAGGCTGCATGTTTAACTGAACTGGTTGGTGGGCTGCGGGGGCATCTGAGGGCGCATGGGTGCCATACCGGCCATCGGCATCATCGCCTGCGGCATTACCATGCTCGGTTGTTGCTGGAATGCGAAAAAACGCGATTATATAATTCACCGTTGGCCCCGAATGTAGAAGTGGCAGGCGCTGTCTCCCTGGATCGGACGGGCTAGCAATATCACGATAATTTCACCCGTATTTCTATTGATTAATAACTGAACACGTTCAAAAACCTCTGTTAAGTCATATGTTATATTTAATTAATTACATATTTTTTAAGTAATGTTCATAAATATGTAATACTAGCTTTTTCGCCCTTGGCTTCGCTCGCGTTGAAGCCCTTAACAACACTTTTTTCCAATTAAAAATATGCCTATGTGTGTTTCCGAGGCTCTAGACTATCTGTGTACCAAATTTCATTTAAATCGGTTCAGTAGTTTTCGAGTGAAAGCGAGACAGAAAGACAGACAGAGTTACTTTCGCATTTTTAATATTAGTATGCAAATACAATATATATTATGCAAATACAATTATAGTGTAGATAGAAGATATATTTTTTAAACAATTTGTCCCGTATTCATATATAAATTTAATACCGAATATAAAGAAATTTGAACAGATAATTTTATTTTTTTCCAAAAGCTAAAATTCTTACTAACGATAACATTAACAATGAGAAATTGAAATGTGATATTATGAGCATGATTATTTAAAAATAGATGCACAGATACAAATTCACACGCAAAATCATTTCTAGCCATGCTTGCGATTCACACACGTGCAAACGTAGTCGTTTATGAATACTGTTATAATTACCTTTAGCCGTCTGTTATATTAATTTTTGCAGTTACCTAGACACAGTCTAGAACAACGTAGAAATTGTTATATCAATGGAAATGACGTAAGCCGATGGAAGTAAGCGTTTTAATGTATACATTATAATTATATTAAAAACATTCAAAAAACACATTTGTGTTACAATTAATCAATCATCTTTGGTTATCATCTACGGTTAACATTTGTATGTTACAATAAATTTCATAACGAGAATTTCAGTCTTGTACCGAAGTAAATATATAAATTTATATGAGGAACTTTTAGGAGTTCAGTTTAAAGGGGAGGAGATGTTACAGGTTGTGGGTAGAAAGAAGCGAAAAGAAAATCAACATAAAATAGCAACTTACCATAACATAATGCGGGGGGTGGTATGTATGAGGCAGTGTATGGGGCATTGGTGGTAATGCCATGCCGGGACCCTGGAAAACGCAAAATAAAAGGGGATGCTGGCATGCTAAGGGAAGTAATAGCAGAGAAAAACTGACATAGGATTAAGAGATTTAATACAAACTCGTCGATTCGAATTTAGCGCGGCTTCTAGCGGATTATGCAACATTAAAAGCGAGAAGGATAGAAATGTCTAAAGAAATTAGGAGTTGCATTATTCTTATTTTATTGTTAAAGCAGTTTTATTGAGGACTTTTGATTGAAAAGAGGAGGCGTTCCCAACGAATTCTCTCCGCTGTGTTCTAGAAATGTTTTTGGTGCATAAACGAGATTCTGGAAACCATATAATTTTAAAAGATGAGCACGTATTTGCTTTTGATTTCAGTTCTCTGTGACCTTCAAAACGTTCAACTAGAATGTCTTATTTTACTCTACATGTTACACCATATCTGTTGTCTTAATGTTTTGCTAACACATTTAGTAATAACCTCATTTAGCAAACATTTATAACAAACAATGAGACCGATCTTAGGAGCTTTTCTGTTGAGGCTTTCAGTAATACTACTTCTTTTAAAACTGAGGCCGTTTAGGTTTTTAATGTACGTCCTTTTTCTTGTTCGATGAATTAGAGAAGTAGAGATGTATTAAAGTATGTGATTTATTTGTCTGGGACAATTTTTACTGAGTTTATTAAAAATCTCGTTAAAATGTATTGTAACTTTGTGGTCTTCCTTAATCCAATAGATCTCGCATATTCTCCCCTGTCCTAATCACAGAGTCACGAAAATATATTTTCGTGACTCTGGTGAGTAATCATTTTGTGCATGTTCATTCTCAATTCCTTGTAAATGCCACAATAGCAAAAAGGAAAATAATCTACACGTTGTATTTTTTATTATATATTAAGTAAGCATTGAGTTATTCATTATAGTACCAACTATTGTATTCGAAATATTACAATAGACACTTTCCAGCCGAATTTATTAATGGACTATTGGCTTGCAAACTTTATATCGTTCGGTAATTACTCTAACAATTCAACAAAGTCGGAAGGTAGCATAAGACAGTCTTGCGCGCCAAGTGACCGTCGCAATGCATCTTTAGGAAAGGGTAAGGGGTTGCCGCAGGGTCCGAATCTCGTTCCGTGGTTATACTCACCATTGGCCTGTATCCGGCGCCGGTCGTGGCCTGCATCGGCTGCGGGCTCCATGCGGGCTTCGACTGGTTCTTTGGCGACGACCACTGCATGGGTCTGACGTAGCGTGGTCAATGGTAGTGCGAGGTACGTTCGTTTGATCGTCAAAGAAGGCAGGGAGAGTGCCAATTGGGCGGTGGGGGATATAAATTATTACAATTTTGCAAACAGCAATATATAGCAGTTACCGGTTAAGTGACTGCAGCCCTATGGTAACCATATAGCACTGGGCGCGGTTGTCAAAGGTTCTTCTGTTTCGATTGATTCGAATGAGCTTTAAGTACCATCATTTACTGATCCAATTTTGTGAAACGGTAGAAAGGAATGGTCGAATCGTCTATTCGATATCATTTTGATATAAAGGCGGATCCAATCTTTTCATCTCCCGTCTCTCAAAAGACAACTCGGAAACGATCAAACGAAAGGTAGATGTAAGCATCTCCGTTAGGTTATGAGCTGTGTATTCGGATAGACATTCGCCTACAGTGGTCTAGCTTCAGTAAACACTAACGCTACAATAACAGAGCGCACGCTTTTTGATATGTTGTATAAAGTTTGTGAAATTTAAAACGGAACCATATCGTTGTATCGTCCAGTTTTATTGACGTAGATGCTTTCACCAGGAATAATCTGCAAAGCAGTTTCCTTTACTCAACCCAATCATCATTATTCTTAGAAATTCATTTTATATTGTCATATAAAAGGTCAAAGAGGATTCATGTAGGAAAATTTTGGCCGTTGAGTAAAGATCTGCGCATTGGCTATTGATATTTCAAACCAATAAAAATTACTTCATACCAAAAAGTTTCTAGCTAGATGAGATCACGATCACTTCACTTGACAATGTTAAAATAAAGAAATCGGATCAAAGACAAAATTAAGTTTAAAAGACATCGAATATTTTCTCATATGAGATTAGTGCCCAATTAACAATTTAAGAGTAAGAAGGTAAAAACTCTAGATTAGTAAAAACCTTTGTTTCTGATCCGATAGGTAAATTTAAAATCTATTCTACATTAAACATTTTACGTTATCAAAGATTTTTGTGTTGCTGAAATCACGAGTTGTTAAATTCTTGATATAATCAACTGGATAAAATAGTTATCATTATTAAGACTATCACGGGCAGGATATAGGGAACTATCTCATCGTATATTACTCTGGCAAAAATGTTGACGAATTATATGACGGCTTTTTAAAACAAATTATTGTATTATTATCAATTTTACCACAAGAGTTGGCTTAACGGCTTTCGTCATCAGATCCTTGTGGACTTATATATTCATTGTAAACGTATTATATTAACTTTAACTGTAAATCATGAATATTTCAATCATAGCGACCCTGCCTTACTAAGCTCTAGCGCTACCTCACCACTGCTGATACGAGTTTTCAAACACCTAGACAGTATAAAATGTCTAGGCGTCAAATGTTAGGGTCAGTAATTGTCACTGAGCTGACGCCACTCTTTTGGAATAAGGGCGGGAGAAAGAAGAAACAAAACGAAATATATCTTGAATAATCGCATGATTTCAGCACGCCTTAGACTAGCAATTCGTCACAACTTGAGCCTTATCAATAGCGTACATAACGCACAAATTGCACTTACTTCTGAGCTGTTGCGGTTTTGTTTATGGTCAGATTGTTGGCCAGTTGGGCGAGCGATGAGTCTAAGTCACCCGTTAGCACCTTGCCCGGTTGCTGCTGCTGTTGTTGGCCTGCGAAAACGAACCTTATTACAATAAGTATAGGGTGCACGAGTGTTGAACAGCGAATGTGTCAAACGGCTCAACTGGAAAAACGTAAAAACAGAGATGAGAGTAACAACTATTACATGCACAAGAATAAAGTCATATTGATGTAAAATAATGATTTAGCTAACAAAAAACATGATCGCCTACTTATAAATAACTTATAAATTAAGGCTTAAAATGATTTGACTAAAATAAACACGAAATGACTATGGATTAATTGTAGCTGCAATAAAGAACACATGGAACTCGCTAAAATGACATACGAAAATTAAAGTAAAACGTCACAGATCACAGAGTGTAAAAATAAATCAACACAGGCAACACTATCTACAAAAAGCTATGTACAGGTTAAACAGCGGCGTAGTTCGTGGGCATTTTGCTAGGGTGGGCGCAGATTAAAAATAATAAACAAGGAAAAGAAACAGGCCATCTGTAAAAAAAAAATGCACATCGAGAAATTCGAGCGCATGATCTAGGGATGTCACAAATTAAAATAAAACTAAAAATAAAACTAGAACATCTGAGAAATCAGTAAAAAAGCACATCGAACGGATCGAGCGCGTATGGTATGGTTGACACAAATTAATATAGCGATCGAAATCATGAGTGAAATCAGTAAAAAGCCAAGGTTGAAACAAATTGATACAACGAAAAAAAAACGAGGTCGTCTGCGAAAAAAAAAAAAAAAGAAACGAAAGCACATCGAGCGGGCTGTTTCACGGTCGGTTAGCGAACCCATCGGCGCCGGTTGGCGGGCGGGCGAGCCGAACGCCTGCGGCTGGTGCGCGCCCTGGAGGAGCTGGGCGGCGGGCGGCGGCGGCTGCTGCTGGTGCTGCGCCAGCGGCTGCTGGGTGATGGGCGGCTGCGGCTGGCGGGCGGGGGAGCCCCCGAGCGACATGCGCATCACGTCCTCCAGCTCGTCGAAGGCGGAGCGCGGCTGCGGCGGCTGCGCGGGCGGGGGGGGCCGCGCGGGCGAGGCGCCCAGCGGCCGCGTCGGGTCGCCCATGCCCATGAACGGGTTGGCTGCGGGGGGCGCGGGCAGCGGGGGGCGGAGCGGGGGGGGGGGGGGGGGCGACACAAAGACGGCACGTTACGAATCTGTCACACACTGTCACAGCTCGACACAGAATTGTAACTCCACGAGGGTGACAACATTGACGCGTGTTGACCGCCACCAGTTAAGTGATCGTTAATAGTTACGGTGCGGTTAGATATCCTTAAACTTATACTTAACATTTAACATATCTTTGCCGCTTGCGGTACGATCGTTTGTGCAAAGGTCAAAAACGGACAGGGACGCACTTTAGACGTCCGTCATAAGGCGACAACTGTAAGAGGGTTGATCGTCATGTCGAAATTGAACGCCGCCCCTGGGCCGTCGCGTCGCTCACCTGCGCTGTCGCCGCCGCTGCTGAACACGTTCGCAAAGTCCGCCTCCGGCACGAAGGCGCCGGCGGGGGGCGGCGCCGTCTGCGGGGGCGGGAAGGCGGCGAACCCGTTCGCGCCCCACAGGGGGGCGGGGGCCGCTGGGGCCGCGGGGGCGGCGGGGGCGGGGGGCGACGCTACGGCACAATCGGCGGTTGCACAAGTTGCCGATAGTCTCGAGCGTACACGCCATTGGGAGCGCTCGATTTTGTTACGGCGAAGAAATTAGCCCTTATGGTCGTTACGTTTATCTTAGACATAGACACCGTCCGTGCTTTAGCAAGCTTCTTGCAAGCTATAGCTTGTCAAGATATCGTGTGGGCAGGTTTGCTGGTTTTAGGTTGCGCAATTTCATTTTTATGACGTTACAGCTCATGTTGTAATGGAATACGATCTACGCAATATTGTTTTTTGACTTTGACTTCGAAACGAAATTTGACAAACCTGCGTACCTATTCTTTATATGAAATGCTTTAGCACTGCAATCGGTATCCAAATTGGACTTGACCTTTATTCTGTATATACTCACTTCTCTTTATTGATGACGGTTTCGCTGTCCAGACCCTGTATCCTATCCAAGGAAACTGGTGCGTTATGGTACAGTGCTAGTGACAATCACCACTAAGCTACCGTTAATCACTGATTAAGGTGAGGTGTTAGGCTATTACGGTTTAATATACTGAGTGGATTAATACACTCTTATGGTATTAAAGATAAGCTATGGCAATTTTGTACTTTATAGACATTATAAAACAATACCGGATATAACAGATGTGTATCGATCTTGGATCTTGTTCTGTTAAACCATTTTATAGTTATAGAGATTTAAAAACTATTATTATAGTAACATTAGATTTTCCCATTAACCTTATGTTTTAAATTATATATACAAAATCCTTCGCAACAAAAGCCGTTCTTCACCAATTTGTATGTACATAAAATATACAGCGTTTCTTTACAATCGCGACAATAAATGAACATACATAAAGAGCCGTGATAGCTCAGTGTCCGTGCGATCGCCTTTAATTCAATATACTCGAGCAACCTGAGTTCGATCCCCGGTGCTGGCACCAATGAAGTTTTTAACTTTAAGTGCTGACTTATCACGTGCTCCGCGGTGAAGGAAAACATCGTGAGGAAACCTGCATATTTTCGAAATAATAACAAAAAAATATATTTCGAAGATATGTGAAGTCCGGCAACCCGCAGTGGGGCCGCGTGGTGGACTATGCCCTGATACCCTCTCTATAGAGGAGGCCTTTGCCCAGCAGTGGGATATGTATAGGCTGTTACTTTACTTTTACTTTTACATAAAGGAGATAAATTTTTAAAATTGTATTAAACATTTACATTCTCTAAACATCAATATTTACAGAGTTATTAAATTTTCCAAAACAAAGAATTTTAGAACACCCCTACCCATAAAACTGTAACGTAAAGTTCATTTGTAAAGTTCACAAAGCATATGAATGGATTGAATGAATTTAAAAGAGACAAAACATACTGTTAGAAGGAGAGGCTTGTGATACGACGCTGTGGTGCGAATTGTATAGGATGTTACAAATTTTGTTTCTTTTTCACTTAATTAGTTTGTTTGAAAAATATATTTTTTTTCATTATGGATTTTGTTTAACGTTAATATTTTTTTATGATTATTGGCAAGTAGCGTTAGACGTGTGTTCATTTATTGTCGCGATGGTAACCACACGCTGTATACATAAGAGAAACTAACTTCACATATACTTGATTGGTCCGTTCATTTTCAAAACGGTATAAGCATTTGACATTAGGATCGAAAAATTCTCTCTCAGTACTAAGTGTGCTCATTCAATATATTTTATTTACACTAATTTCGATTTCATCCGAGTCGGACCCTAAGAATCCGATTAAACAGCTAAGGTTAAGATCACCTCACCTGAAAACATGTCCGCGAACGGGTTCCCGAGGGCCAGCAGGTCGTCCGATGCCTTGGCCGTGGTGGTGGTGGTGGGGACCTCCGCCGGCGAGGGTCCGAACAGCTCGACGATCGACTGCTTCTGGGTGCCGTTGGTGGGCGCGCTGGACAGGAACGGGTTGCTGGCCGAGTTGGTCGGCGACTGCACCTTGTTCTGTTCGCGATAGGGTCCATTTTAGATTGACACCTCGTTACGTTGGAATTATCACTGCATATTTAAAAACGAAGTCGTCTGTCTGTCCCTACGCATGCGTAGATCTTTAACGCAACGGCTTTTAATGCGGTTTTTTTTACTAGATAGAGTGATTCGAGAGGAAGGTTTATATGTATAATACATTGCACCCGTGCGACGCCATGGCGGGTCGCTAGTTTACTTTAAATTTAGAAAGGCGATGTTTAATATTAGGTTTTCAACCTATTTACTCCGGGTAAAGCGAGCAACGCTCTAGCCGCTGAGCTTAAGGGGATACGCTCATACCGAAGAAAAGCTATAATACATCTTAATATTCTGCAAATTTTAAATTTCATTTTATGTGCAGGGAAATAGCTTTAGAAAATAATTTTAAAATTGAAAAACGATGGTTTGCGGAACAATCGTTCTCCGATAATAGCTGGTGACAAATAGGAATGTTGCGTCGGGTTTCATAATGTAAAAAACATACATCGAATTTTCAAACATTCTGTACTGTCTTGTGTTCGCGATAAGAGAACCGAAATCAAATACTGAATTTATGAATCCAGAGTTTTGTAGAGATTGATTTTTTCTATGAATTCTGAGTTTATTTTGAAACTTATTCGTAACTATTAAGAATCTATTCAATACGTTATTCGCGTTATTACGATAATACTATCAACGTGTTACCCAAGCGAGGTATCGAGTTAATGAGATTAAAAAACAGCAAAACGCAACTTTTGTGACGGATTAAAGTTACGGAACCTTAACGGAGACTTTATGAATATCATAAATACGCATCTGACATCATCATGGATCTAATTAACAGAAAGTTTTAACTTTTATACGCAATGAAAACACGTAAAGTGCAAACTTGAAACGGAACCTAGACGTGAGAGGACAGATCACAACGCATTAAATTAAAATACTTGCATCCGTTTTCTGAATCGCTGATCATCGTAGAAGTTAACTAATCAGCCGTCAAACAGCGGCCAAAAGGTTGGTTAAACTATTTGAATTGATCTTTCTGATCATCAAGATCATTCTAATCAATTCAGAGAGTTAACCATCAAACCATAATTTTGGCAACTCGAATGACATTCGAAAAGCCATTTGACAGCTGATTAGTTAATTTCATTCATCATTGTTTCGGTTAACGGGAGAGATGTGTGCGTTAAGATGACTTAATGGGACGTATGAACGAAACCCCAACAAACAAAAACTTAACCAACAAACGAAGCACCAAAGCGTGACAGCCAACGAAAAGCGTACCACAAATGGAAATGAAAATTCCGAATTATATTGAAATAAATAAATATTCATATAGATTCCCTTCATTTTGTTAATATACATTCCAAATTTCATAACCCAAAAGCTTAGGCCGAGATGACATTCTAATGAGTTTAATTAGTTCTCCACAGTGGTGAGTGACGAGCCTGTCGCCTCTGATCCGAGCAAACGTGCGTCCCGTACTTGGGTATAAGTAACTTATACAATCAATACACGAAGCCAGAGCGATATCGAAATAATGAATATGTTTCAAGCATATCCCACGTTTCTAAACCCAAAGGTTTAAGCCGAGATGACATTGTAATGATTTAATTAGTTCCCCAACGTGAAAGTGACGAGCTTGTCGTCTCTGATCTGCCCAAACTATGCGTTCACCATTTACGTTAAGTCGGTAATACCTAAATAATCTATACACGAAACCATACGTATATATTTTTATATATTTTATTTAAAGCCCCGGTATAAGCTTACCCAACATACGACAAACAAACAGACAAATAAAAGAGCCCCCCGATCGTTTAAAATCTTACTATTATAACGGATATGTCTTCCTCGCCAGTTACCTCATCGCCTTGCAATAACTGAACCTGCAAAACGTCAAATCTTCGTTTAGGCGTAGGCGTAGGCGGAGGCGTGTCGTTTTAGCCTCGAGGTTAAAGTGACAGGATTGAAACAGGTTATAACATAATGACTGCTTGGGCTTAAGTCACATGTGCTAAGGTTAATTGGCGTAAAAGGGGAAATTGATAAGAATTTTATAAATGATATTCCGAATTTCTGAGTCTAAAATTATTCAAACTTATATCAATAACAAATGCACGAAAGTTAATGCGAGACAGAGATGGAAATAGATTTTTAACTAAAAGGTTACAGTTCTCCGCGTGTGAATTTGAAGGGCTCAATTGCAATGGGCTGTAATCGACGTTGATGCTGCAGGTTAAGCCAATAGGTTTTTGTGGAATCTCATTTCAAACTGGTCTCTCATGCGTCGAAACACCTCCTAACCAATGTACTTTGGTCCACTTCAGAGCTCAGCTTGTACTGTTCTACAAACAGCACTAAATTTCCAAAATTAACTGACTCTTGTGTGTGACTCTAAAGCCTCACCTTGAATCGGCTATTCTAATTCTGATAAGCAACCTAACGTTCACTGCAGATTGATTCTAATGGGACTAACATCCCAGCGTCCATCGATCCCCCGGCGGGGTTTCTTCATATTATTTTTTATGGGAAAAGTTTCTAATCTAAATGACGACTCCGGTTATCTCGCTCGCCGGACGAAACGTGAAAGTATAACAGTTCCCTTCACGCCGGTCTTCTGCGAGCCCACTGCCAATGCCCGCCAAGAGCGGCGGGAGGGGCTCACCTTGTACTGGATCATGCCCCACCAAGAAGAGCGAGAGGGGCTCACCTTGTACTGGTTCATGCCCCACCAAGACGAGTGAGAAGGGCTCACCATATACTGGATCATGCCCCACCAAGAAGAGCGAGAGGGGCTCACCTTGTACTGGTTCATGCCCCACCAAGAAGAGCGAGAGGGGCTCACCTTGTACTGGTTCATGCGAGAGGGGGGCTGATGCCCCACCACCTCACCTTGTACTGGTTCATGCCCCACCAAGAAGAGCGAGAGGGGCTCACCTTGTACTGGTTCATGCCCCACCAAGAAGAGCGAGAGGGGCTCACCTTGTACTGGTTCATGCCCCACCAAGAAGAGCGAGAGGGGCTCACCATATACTGGATCATGCCCCACCAAGAAGAGCGAGAGGGGCTCACCTTGTACTGGTTCATGCCCCACCAAGAAGAGTGAGAGGGGCTCACCTTGTACTGGTTCATGCCCCACCAAGAAGAGCGAGAGGGGCTCACCTTGTACTGGTTCATGGCGGCCTCCTCCTCGGCCAGGGCCTGCTGGCGCAGCGAGTCGTCGATGAGCAGCGCCCCGTTGTGCTCCAGCCGCGAGGAGGCGGCCGCGTTGCCGAACGACGAGGACGTCGACGACAGCGCGCCCATCACGCTCGCCACGTTCTTCTGGGCGCTGCGAACCGTCCGTTGGGCTTCAGGTTCTGTCTCACCAACAACGACCCGAGGGCCCCTCTGATGGAGGTTCGAGTTTCGGCCCGGATCGCAACCGATAACGGACCAACCCGGAGGAAGGAATAAAGTTGGCCGGCGCTCGACTAGCGTTACTCGAGTAATAGACCAACGATTAATCGAGTAAACCGGTCAGCGATTGGCACAGAGCTAGTGGGTTAGATTTCCGCACGGGGCTTTTAGGGTTTTTACACACAATGTACTTTTTGTGTGTAAAAACCCTAATCACTTACAATATGATTCACATGTTGTGCCGACCCCATCTAGGAGGAATAAGGGCAGAAGAACGATGATAAAGAGTGGAGGAGAGGTACCTGGCGGTCTGGGTGGGCGTGTTGGCTGCGGAGCCCTTTTTCCCCTCAAGGGTGGCTAGGTGACCCTCCAGTGCGTCCAGCAGGCTGCTGGGCGCCTTCGTCAGGTCCGGGATGTCGCCCTTGTCGATGCCCACGTTCTCTGCCACCTGCGCATTCGACCCAAGAACATTAATGACGACCCGATTAGCCAGGGTACTGAAAAAATATTCTGTGGTGAACACAAGTGTTTTTTTTTTTTTCAGATTTTAAGTGTTATTATGTATTTATTTTACGAAAGAAAAGTATGTCGAAGTATGTTTATCAGTTATCTGGTAGCCATAGTACAAACATTGCTTAGTTTGTGATTAGAAAATGTTGTGTACAAAGGTGCCCTAAAAATATTAATATTTAGTATTTTACTGCGGCCATGCAACAGCTGTTACACGAATACCTGCCGTGCCCACTGATTACACTTCAGAGGCTATAAAACGTACCGTTTTTTAAAGGACAAAGACAAGAGCGAGGATAAGAAACGCGGATCCCCACCTTGAGGAACTCCCCGACTCTGTCCATCCTGATGAGGAACTTCTTGTAGAGGTCTAGAGCTTCGCGGCAGTTCTTCTTGTTCATGTCGAAGTACTTCTCCAGCAGATTGATGATGCCGTCGTTGTAGCACGCGAACAATCTGAATTAATAAACGAAACGTAAACAGTACTCGATTAAGTAGACACTCAAAATTGGAATAGACCAATCACCTTGTTCTTTAAATACTACTAAAACTGTAGTAAAACATTTTCCGCAGGATATGTAGTAGAATATTATAGTATATGCATTCTATTTTGAATGCTTAAATAATTTAATATATTCTTGTTATATTGGGTTTAATATGTTTATATACTTTATATATTTTCATGTATATATTTTAAATTTAATTATATATGAATATGTATATAACTTTTATTTTAACTTAAAATTTGATTAGAAACTTTTTACACCTGCCTCTTTTGTCTCTGCGTCGCCCATAGGTTGACTGGTAGAGAATGCCTTAGGCATTAAGTCCGCCTATACACAATACTATTTTTTTGTGTAAAAGTTTAAATAAATAAATAAATAAATATGTAAGAACGTTTTATATGCACAAATTTCACCTGTCTAAACAAAGTCGAAAGTCAAAATTTCTTTCAATTTCATCATTCAGCCCCCTGGGCTTGCAAGTGCAGAGCAAAAGTCATTTCCACTCAAACTATACAAATCTTACTTTCCTTTATATAAGATCTCTGATGGTTCAGTGAGGCAGTAAACATTGATTATCGACTTGGGACTGATCATCACTTTAATAGACCCGAACGGGACGGCTTGGCGTAGCAGCTGATGAATGGAGACATGTCTCATGTTTCCCGCAAAGTAAATGTATTTGATGCAGTACAGAGATGACCCGGTAGAGGGGTTCGTAGGAAATTCCCCTCTAACGTACGGGGGGCTAACACCGAGTGGGCTTAAGTGGATAAGACCCATCCCATAATACAAAAACCCACCAATCCTGTCGTACACCCAAGAGACAGACAAATTTCCTTCCCGATACCAAAAAATAGGAGAGGACGACGGTACCTTATGAGATCTCTGAAGAGGAGCATGAAGCACATGTTTATGACCCCGTTGGTGAGGTCGTTGGCTGTGCAATCGAACTCGAGCAAGGCGTCCAGCTGCGCTTGTAGCACCGGCAGCGTCTTCAGCAGCTTCTCCGCATTCATCATGCGCAGGGAGCCCTCCTCTTTGCTGTTGAAACGGTTTATCGCTCCGGTATAGCTAACGTTTTCGCTGTTCGACGTTCCCAATCGCAGTGGATTCGAATGGGGCTCGGTAATGGACCAGCTTAGACGATACTGATAGTGCAATAATAGTTTGCGGGATTTTATAAGGAAGATAAGTACGCGCGCCAAGCTGCAGGTAAAAATCTAGAATAACATACATTTCAGGGACCCGATATAGGATAGCCACGACCTTTATCCTCTCCAGCTTGTGGATACTTAGCATTTTCACGAGCAGTGTTCCCGATGAAGTTTTATATACTCTAGTACCAAAACTAAGACAATTACATTGACGTAAGAATCATCAAAATCGGTCCTCGCATTAAGTGTCTAGAGTGCCACAAAGGAACAAATATGTATACATACATACACAGGTTAATAATCACATTATACTCCTATGCGACGCGCAATCGGGTAAAAAGCAACGTCTCACCTAAATAGAACACGGAAAATTATTGGAGGTACAACTCAATTACTGAAGGGGAATCGAATGTTTGTTGAGTATTATTATATTACTACTTACGTCTGCGTAGAATAAGCTGAGGGTGTAACATTAAGACAGAAAGACAGATATACATAAAATATGTATATAAATCATAGCCTATGTCTTATTCTGATGTATAAGCTATATTATTGTAAAGTTTCATTAAAATCCATTCAGTAGTCTTTGCGTGTAAGAGTAACAAACATACATCCATCCATCCGTACATACAAACTTTCGCGTATATAATATTAGTAAGGATATTAAGGATGCATCTAATGGAATGAATTTCAATTAACTACGAGGTTTTTCGGATTAAGCATGCTTTTAATTCCAGTTCAATTCAGTTTATGCTGTTGCTTTCATGGGCTGGCGAAGTGCTACACCATACGACCGGCGTGATGTCTAAGTATTTGAGTGTTGTCTAGCGAGTGAAGTGAACATGGCCTACTCTTTTAAAGATTGTCCCCTCATCTGCAAATAATCTGGTTATGAAAATGTCCATAGGAGGTAGTAATACATTAATATAAGACGGACCTACTCAATTGCCTGATTCTCACCCTAACATAACAACGGACTCCCAAGTACACGTCTAAATAATGAGAGTAGTGTTGTTTCTAATTGATTAATCAGTTCTTCATCTGCCCTTGAATGTCAATTATGCTTTTTATAGTGCACTTGTAATCGAATACAATTAACAACAAGCATTTATCGCTGAAAGGCCAAATGTCCAAATCGTTAGCACGGTCAACGGAATAATAAATTCAAGGGTTTTTAAATAATCACTTTAATATACAAACGTTCATTTACAATTTTAATTCGGGACGTTTTCTGGGATTATATTTTAAAGACATATACATTGTCCCATAAAATAATCACTTCTCTATTTCATCTACGCAGCCTAGTTGAGGGTTGTGGTGTGTTCTAGGGATAAGCCATAAATCTTCAATCCATAGTACATACCACAACGGGCACTTGGAAGTTTCCTTCTTAACATTAGGAAGAAAAAATTTACAATGGATATTTTTAGGGACTAAATTCAAACTTGACCTACTTAACCTCCTAAATGAGAAACATTTAGGAAGTTTTGGGTAAAATTTAGTGAATTTTAGTGGCTTTTCGAAATGCTTCAGGAGTGTTTTTTTGAACGGTTGGTAACACTGGTGTGTGCGGTTCCATTACTAGGCCCAGGTACATCGGATAAAGTCAAGAATAGTGAGATCATTCTTTCTTTCTTTTTTTTGTAAAAACATTGCCATGTAAAAACAACAGGGCGTTTCACAAACTCAAACTTCACGCGGAAAAACACTGAGACGCGAAACAACTATCTGTGGGCCACACAAACAGCTGTACCGTGTGGGAATCGAACCCACGACCCCCGATGCGCGAGCCAATACCTTGGCAACTGTGCCGCGGAATGATCAAAACATACGTTCAAATAGAAGATTATCACTCACCCCCTCTTCACTTTGCAGAAGTCGAAGGCCACGGTCCTGTAGGATAGAGCCTTCTCGTTCAGGTACTTGGCGTAGCGCCGGATGAACGGGGACATGTCATAGCCTGTGCATTTCAAAGGGAAAATCAACCAAAGACTCGACAGAATAAAGTTTATATTCGCGATGAAGTTATATTCGTACTCTTGGATTAAATGAGAAACGTGCTGTGAAATTAAAGAATGGCACAGGTCTCGAGAGAAGAGAATATTACGAAGTTACGAAGGTAAAGTGCATGTTAATTCTGTACAAGCAATTTTATCTGCTGCCGCTTCGGCGTAGAGATCTAATTGGCGTGAACAAACCTGTTGTGGAATTGCTTAACTTATCGGACAACATACAAAGCTCTCGACATTCAGACAGGAAGCACACAATGGAAAATACAATTTGAACTAAATGACCTTTAATGGAACGATAAAAAACTAATACAAAGCTCTGATTACGTAATGCATAGCCAATAATGCAGATAGCATTGTACTTATCATGTACAATTCTAACCACGACGATGAAAGATGACATTAGAATTGAGTTACTGTAAAACAGTAAATAGACACAGTAAAATCAGGTTCATTTTAGCTCGGAAATAGCTTTTTATTTTGTATAACCATTGATTTTCCTAGACGGGATTCTTCATTAGCAATCTGCCATTGGTCCATATCGGACTCGGTGTCTCAAAAAATAAAAATAAAAAATCATTACCGATCTACGGTGCATCTAAAAGCATGGGTGACAAAACATGTTCTATGATACAACGTGCAAAAAGTGTTTAAAAATCGAAAAGTGCAGTGAAAAACTAAACAAAGCTACTGGTTGCTGGGTTGCCATCCTTGCAAATTTATGAAAAAAAAAAGTACTCAAATCACTATTAACACATTTTGCATTAATGAAAAACACCAGTTATTACGAAGACGTCGTAAAAGTGGCCTCATAAATTGAATAAAAAATTATTACATTTTTCGTATCACATTTAAACATTAAAAAGTAAAACAAAACGGATTGACGTTATTTATTACCATTCTATTTCTACCGAAAACATTCGCATATATTAATGTATAACAAACGCGATTTAATCTTGTTCAGGCACTTGACGAGTCAACGCGCTACAAACGTAGAGCCGACATATTTTTAATACGAGATAGTGTCACTAACCTACCTTAATGCTCTAAATGGTGGAACTCTACAGTACCACGACCTCACAGAAGACCGGTATCAAGTGGATGTGTTAAACTTGCGAGTGAGATAAGCGGAGCCAACTTTATTTAAAGGTGGCCAAGCATCGGCAACCCTACGGGTGTTGCAAATATCACTTAATTTACCGCCAGCTCGCTTGCGCAGCGTAAAACGAAAGAGGTTGCACTACTTAGTAGAAAGGAATTGAAGTGCCTTCTTTAATGACCAACCGTCTATCTGCAAAGCGTTAACAATCGCTTGGTAGTTAAAGCATTTCGCCTTAGTCCTCAATCAAAGTGTCTACTACTACTATGATCGGATGAAGCAATTGTTAATTTCGCCTCTCGCCCTTTTGTGGTTTTCGATTCCACAGGGTAAAAATATTTGTATTATCCGAGAACAGTTGCTCTAAATCTGGCACTTCGTGTACCTGATTTCATGTTTAAACAAACGGAGACACGGGGATTATTATCTATCGTACGGGAAGTATATTTTTATTTTTTAAAGGAAAGCAAAGTAACAGCCTATTTATGTCCCACTGCTGGGCAGAGGCCTCCTCTATACGTTTATATGAGGGTTTTTGCATAGTCCACTACGCGACCGCTCTGCGAATTGGCGGACTTCACGTATCTTCGAAAAGTTTTTATTTTGATATATTTCGAAAATATGCAGGTTTCCTCACGATGTTTTCCTTCACCGCTGAGCACGAACTAAGGTCGCTCGAGCATGTTAAATTAAAAGCCAGCGCTCGGACAATCAGCTATCACAGCTCTATATTTTTTTTAAACAAATAGTCTCAATAAACGTTTATGGCATTTATCTCGACACATAAAAAAATAATTTCGTACAAATTCGACAAAGCTTTTGGCGCGTTATAGTATACAGCGGTTAGGTCTGCACAACATATCAATTACAAAACGTGATACGAACAGGCGTATCTCTCGGTTTGAATATTTCATTTCACGTTTCATTGATAATAAAATTAAATTGAATTTAACTCCAAGAACAAACAGAACATTATTATTACATAACTGACTGACGTGACGCGTTCTCGATATCGAAAAGCGAAAATAACATTTTCGCTTTTCGACAAAGGAAGAGGCATACGCAACTTAATTTGCGACCAGACGACAGATATCGAAAGCCATATAGAAAAATTATAAGGGCCTAAATTATTTTGTAACAATCATTTTAACATACTTTACGCTTTTCTAGAATCAAAAAATCTTAATCATCATTAGATGGCAACCCTCAAATTAAATAAACTCAAATCAAATTTAATTAACATTGTACTATCTACATCGATTGCATACCATATCCGGCATTCGAATGAGAGTTATCGTTTGTTAAACTGTAATAAAATATTACAATCGCGTTTCACTTCTACACATAACATATGAAATGTTTTAAGTCTGGGATATTGCAAAATTGAGAATATAACAAAACAATACAAAATGAAGGTTTAAATTGATGTGTTACTATTTAGTAAAGGCAAAATAATCACATCAATGTCAGCAAAAACTTATATGGATATAAAACAACTTGTTATCCATAGTGATTTTTATTTGGCTTGATTAGAATCGGCGAAAACACACGCGACAGTTTTTGGGTAAAAAAAAAAATGTTAGCCACCTTGACGGTACGGTTTTTATGTTTTGCAAAATCCCAATGGACGGATTCAAACGCAGCGAAAATGAAAATGATCGAAAAACAAAAACGAAAAAAAAAAATAAAAAACAGCATCTAACCGGTTTCGTCGTTTTCCGATTTCCTTGGCATACTGTATCCGAGAATCGACACTGCGATCTCACATATGCCTAGAATTGTAAATTTATGTGATTTGTGTTTCTGTGTGAGGGAGATAAATAGTTTACGCTATGGTGGGATAAACTTTAAAATGACTACACTCGATCAATATTGTGACTGTATAATGTGTAAAGAGATAAGCAAAGAACTAGAATATTTACATTATACATAAGCAGTTTAATTATAAATATTGAACCTTATTTGTGAACAAAAGGGGGTATTAACCTCTGAAAAGTAAAAAAAACTGCCTTGAAATATGTCTCCGTGCCGTTAAGGCTGCCTCTATACATTTCAAGTGTTATAAATTGTTTTTTTTTTAATTTATTTAATCATAATTTTCAACCTTAAACAATACAGGTAAAAAAGGGGAAAATTAATGTCCAAAGGCTCTACCGTACCTCTTATCCGTATATATACTATATTTACGTATGCATTTTATGTATACAAGTAATATGTACATATTTCCTTTCCCCCTATGAATTACGATTACTGATATACCGATGGTGTGGTAATTTTTTCTTCGAAGTCGAAGCTTTTCGCCTTCGTACATTATTGCTATTATTAGACGAAGAACAAACAACACCTTCGACACAATTCATCGTCTAATTACGAGAGCGCTGCGGTACTAAGCGAATCGGACACGTGGCATCGGGCGTACATGAACTCGACACGCCAATAAAATCACGCAGCGAGACGACCGGTCAAGTGGCCATTTAGGCATGCCACCCATCCATACGCACGGGGGCATGCTCCCGCGTAACTAAAACCGAATCTAACAGAGTACTTCTTATAAACAACGACGCTATTCACAATGGAAACACACAAGCATACAAAACACACACAACTATACACACACACAAGCCAACAACACAACGCTATGGTGACAAAACGTCGTGTAGAAGCTAGTAGAAGTGAAAAAAATAAAAAAAAACATCATTGCACCCACATCCAAAAGCGTGTTGGCAACACTACAAACACAGCGTGGACCAAAGCGGCCATTTTGCTTTATTTTTCTTTATTCAACTCACCAATCCTGGCGCCGGCCGCGCCTTCCCGAAAGCGATAGGGAAATTAGAAAAGATTAGTCAAACAATCGGAGAAATTGACATTTATACAAGTGTACTATGTGATATCAAGCACGTGGTTTCAACAAATCGAGTGATTTCAATAGAATTCCAGTAACGCAAGAGCATAAAATCCATTCTAGTGACGTAACTATAATCAGGTGCAATTGCTTTGGTTTCTTTGCATGCCGATTTGTTTACTTTCTAAAACACATTCCAAATACGTTATTTCGCTCAAACGATTAATGAAAAATATTAGCCGACTTACGAAAAATTTTATTGTTCAAATCAATAGTTAACCCAGGTTCTGACATACTGTGATAGGGCCATGCAACGTCTCGGGCCAGTGTTATTTGTTGCACGAATGGGCATGTCCGTTCAGGTAAGTACCGCGACATCACAGAAGACCGGCGAAGTGGTAGTTGTTATGGTTTTGCGTTTCCTATGGTGGGCGAGGTAGCCGGGGCCCACTTTATCAAAAGTTGGCAATGTTTCTGCAACCCTACGGGTGTTGCAAATGTTGGCGGCGGTTATCGCTTAGCATTAGGTGGACCGCCAGCTCGTTTGCCACCTTCTCACATAAATAAAACCACACTTAGATTGAGTGTATATGCTCATTCGCTCATAGCCACCTTGAGAACATCAATAAAAATTAGTCTAAGTACGAATAAAATCCAATATTATGTTATTATCATTCATTTCAAATGTTCCCACAAGCAATCGGAAAGTTTCTCAATGGAATCGGTGTCGATCAAGATTACTAATATCGACACTTATGTCCAACAATTAGAATGCTTAGATGATTATACGAATCAAAGCAGTAAGGCTGTTTCGAGTATCAGATCGTGTCTCTTAATTTTACCCTCATATACAATATTCTACTAGCGGACCCAACATATGTTGTCCTGTACATGGGACTTACACACGACATCCTAAAAAAATCATCGACCTGAAGACAAAAAATTTCATAAAAATCGGTCCAGCCGTTTAGGAGGAGTTCAGTGACATAGACACGTACAGAAGAATTAAATATATAAAGATGAACACCCAGACATTAAAGAAACAATATGTTGATTGAATCCACACCCTCTGCGCAAGGGACACTATCTATTACGCCAATTGCATCGTCGATCAGGTATACATTAGTCACTTGTATAAATCTATAGACAATAGAAACTATCTATAAACTAAAAGCTTTTTATGGATATTATTGTCTATAAACTATACGTTTCTGACCTGTCTATTAGTGCACCAGCAAATTTTTGCTTGTACCACAGTTATATAATAAAATTGTTTCATCAACAAATTTATTTCCTCATCGACATCTTCTTCTATTCTTATCTTGACACGATATTATTCTATTTGGACAATGTACTAAGCGTGTACGTTAAACCCTAAAACACGGGATGATATTAAGCATTATTCGAGATAAAGTGCAAATTTAGATATCGATGTCGCTCGAACGTGTTCCAGGGAAATGGGTCACCGCGGTAGCATCTGCCGTCGGATCAATATTTAATAACGACACGCGAGCTGAAAATGCCAAAGGCTGTGTCGGACATTTAAAGTTCTTTCCATAATTTGTCGCAGATGGAGGTAAATAATAAAGAAATAGCAACAGTTTTTTGTTTATTTACCCTATAATGTATACGTCTATGGTTGAATGCAGAAATAAAGCTAACATTTACGTATTTATTTAAAATAAAGAAATAATGACTACAAAGAGAGATCGAATAAGATATCCTCCGTTATAAGATTGGAGTGTTTATCCGTATAGAGGTAATCGAGGTCGAAAGCTTTGTTTACTAAAACACCTCGGCTTCACACACGAGCTTCGGCACCGGGGTTAGTGGATTCGATTCCCACACGGAACAAGTGTTTAGTGTGACCCGCATATAATTGTTTTTACGGAACTGGGTGTTTATTTCATAGGAGGGTTGCCGTCAGACACCTGCCTGAGGTCCGTAAAAAACCCAAACATGATTCACCTGTTTTGCCGACCCCACATAAGTGGTGTAAGGGCAGGAGAAAGAAGGAATTATACGAATTTTCAATAATAATAGAGTGCTTTGGACTTTCGATAGACTATTATTCACTTAAAATATGTAGAATTGATGACTCAATAACGACCGCACCTCGGGGCGTCATTTAGCGCCATTAGAATTTAACTCTAACTGAACTAGGATACGGAATATCTTTAAAAACGTACGTCCTTTAAACTGGCAAACGTATACATAAGACACAAAAAGTGAAAAATTACTTTTAAGACAAGGAAAGAATATTTTAAAACGAAAGCTAAAATAGATAAGATAACAATCGCATCAGTCGATACAACTATATATCTATATACTTACGACGTAAATTCTATATTATAGTACATGCAGAAAAACTCTCGTAATCATTACACGGAACGAATAAACGTGGAGCGTGCTCGATTCATTTGAATCGCCAGCGATATGGGGAAATCGATACCGTTTCTAAAACTTGTATATCCAGTGTACCGACCCGCGAGAGCCTGTGCCGCGCAATAACGCACTTGCACATTGATATTATATTGATCTGTTGATAAATATATCCAATCTAATCTTTTGACTACCCGATTGACGTGGTGGATAGTGAGCCTGTTAGTTGCGCCCGTGGGTGTGAGTTCGATCCCCACTAGTGGAAAAATATTGTGTGCCGAACAAAGCGTTTTTCTAGTGTCTGAGTGTAACATATCGAATCCCGATGACGTGCACCTGTTATTAAATACCTTACATCATAACCTTGCCATAATGTGGCACTGTACGGGACGAAAATCAATACGAAGATGGGACTCACTTTAACGACAGGCAGGGTTATACGTTACCTTAGCCTTATGAGAGCCCGGTACGGTCACAGATCTGGTAACTATAAATCCCTATTGATTACTTGACTATCCAGATACTAATAGTGAATTTTAACTGTGGTAGGGCCACGCAACTGCTCACTGTCGCACGAATGGGCAGGTCCGTCCGGTTAAGTACCACGACCTCACAGAAGACCGGCGTGAACTGGAAGTGTCATACTCGTGCGTTTCGTCTGGTGAGTGAGGTAGCCGGGGCTCACTACATTAACAGGTGGCATAGCATCTGCAACCCTACGGGTGTTGCAAATGTCAATGGGCGGCGATTATTCAATTAATATCAGGTGAACCGCCAGTTCGTGTGCCACCTTATCACATAAAAAAGTGACAGAGGGGCTGACACTGAGTCAACTCAATATTTGTGATCGGATAAATCATATTGAGCCGTCAAAGACATTCCATCTTCTTTTATTCATAGCTCATTCTCAACGCATGTAGTTTGGGGCTCAATAAGCTCAGCAAGTAAAGATAAGTTGGTCCTGGTTAAGTCAACCCACAAAGCTTTTCTCGTCAGTTGGTGTCTGACACTCATCCAAGTTGAACGATATAGTAGGCAATTAAACTAATACAGTAATAGCAAGTTCCCTTTCGTCTTAAAGACAGTCGCATTTGATCGGAGACGGTTGGTGAAAAAAACAATGATCGTCATGAGTCTTTAAAGAAGCCTCACAAACTCACGCATATAACATCTGGCTATGTCCGCAAGATGTGCAAAACTAGCATAAAACGCGCCCATGTGTTAAAATGCCGCTTGCTATTCCTGACCTTCTTTAATTGGATAAAGTGTTACTTCATATTTAGCGCTCTAACATAAAACGTTCTAAATAGTAAACGTTATAAATATATCTCAACTAATATGACTAGCGTACATATAGTTATCTCCGAGCTTCCTTTCTTTTGTTCAATTTCCTTACGCTCGCAAAAAAAAAAATACTGTGGAATAATCAAACAGTCTTCTTGTATTAACTGCTGTTAACGCTCTCAGTCCCGAGACTATTGAAGCTTCATAGAATGCAGAACCGGTGGGGTAGCCAGAACCCACGGATTTGAGGCCCTCCACAGTGGGTAGGGCCGCGCATGTGCTTATGCGTGCGTTAGCTAACGAGTGTCGCATACGGGCTATCACTCCGGACCCACCGCCGGATAACACTACACCCACAATTAGTGCAACAACAAACATACTAGTTCGCCCTCGCCTCCGAGCACGGCGAGACCAACACAACAGGTTCGGTGCGGACCGTGACCCCAATAGCCGTATAGCCGTAGACTGCGCTTGGTTAGTCGGTGCCTGGGGGAGGTGAGAACCGCCCTGGAACACGGGTGTACCTAGTGTGTACAGTCGGCAACAAACGCTATAGTACCTCCACCATCAGGTGAACCTTTTGCTCTTTTACGATTAAAACAATACACGATGATGTTGCTTGTCACTTCTTGAACGTCGGTGTGTCGCGCGCATCGTAAAGATTTTATTCTCAAACTTTTTCCAAACTCCCCAAAAGAAGTTGAACTTGAAGTTACTTGAACAAGGACAGGTGTACCAGCAGTGTGTACAAAAACGATGTATCGTCAAAGATTGATGATAGCAATCGTTGACGTCGCAGCGTACAATAATGCTACAGGTCAGCCAAAGTGATTCGAATGACATTGTCATTTCAACGGCCACGATAAAGAAGGGCAACGAACCGAACGCAATAAACACGAGGGCTTGCCTTTCAATTAACAACTGACTGGCGCTTAGCGAGTCATACATAGACTATGCAATAAGCGAAACGTAATTAGCCTTGTAGACTGTACTGTGGTAGGGCTGCGTCTTTTCTGTTGCACGAACAGCTGCGTTCGGGGAAGTGTCATACTTCTGCATACTTCTGCAATGGGCGGCGCTTATCACTCGACATCAGGTGAACCGCCAGACCGTTTGCCTCCTTCTCACATAAAAAATACACTGCAGTAACTACATCGTCTTTAACCATGGTGAAACAAAACCTACGGCCTAACTATGTATCACATAAGCTAAGCCATGTAGTATTTAGCCTGATCGCGGTCACTAAACAAGAAACCCTCTTGATTCCGGGACCTCAAAACGCAGTCCAGCAGAAATTAA